CCTCTCGCCTGTAACTGGAACTTCTCCGCCTCAGTCCATTGACCTTGGTAGGAGAAGAATCCGGCTGCACAGTGGAGAAGGGATGCCCTTGCCAGCCTCTCGTCCTTCGACCCAGTGCTTACAAGTCTCAGCACCGCATGCACATGCGGAAGCAATGCGCTACATATCGCCCGGTGCTCATAGCTGCCGTATGGGTAAGCCTGCGACACCACCGAGAGCGCCTGTTCCGCGAATCGCCCCATCGTCCCCTTCCTGTCGAGCCACCTTTGCGTGACCAATTGCACAAGGCGGTGCATATCGAACCTACGGTCCCTGTCCTCAACAACAAAACAGAACGCTTTGAGAACGCCTAGCGCCTTCGTGAGTTGTACTTCCCCTCTTTGCTCTTGGCCCTGCTGCTTGCCGTAGTGGGATAGGAATTCCAACGGGACGTCCTGCCGGTCGAAGAGGCTCATGAGCGAGAGGAGCTCACCCGCAAAGACATTCTGCCGCTGGATCTGCTCGAACGAGAGAATCCACGTCTCAGCCACCGCACGAGGAGTCTCCGAGTCTCTCCCGTCTGTCTCAAATTCCTCGCTCAGCAGATCGATGACGCTCTGCTCGCTCTTATCCAAGAGCCGAAGGTACTCGCCGATCGTGATGCTGTTCTCTTGGATGAACGCCGCCGCCTGAACGAGCGCCAGCGGTAGGTGCTCCAGCCGAGAAGAAAGCGCCGAGGATTCGTCGGAAGCGGCGTCGATTCCGCCAAGCCGTGCACGAAGCAGCTGGGCCGTCTCGTCGTCATCCATCCTGCCGATTTCGATCGCGTGCTTTCCCTTAGTCAGCTTCAAGCCCGTCTGCTTGTTCCTGGTTGTAATAAGAATGGCGCCGTGCGAGCACTCGGTGTCACAGGATTCCTGTTCCTGTATCCGGGCCACGGATCCGAGCAATGGATCTGGCCACGCAGGCCACGTATGCGTACGTCATGTATATGCCATGTCCCGGACCTCTGCACCGAACCTGCACTGGGCCAGCATCTGCATAAGACATGGTCGCATGCCCACACGCTAGATAGGTAGTCTTGCTCTCTTCGTGCAATATCATATGTATGTGCAGGCTGACCAGACCTTGCCGTGGTGCCCGTCACACTCGGGAAGGTACCGCCCAAGGCTCCCCTCGTGGCTGGATGCACTGCCGTTCTCGGATCCCCCTTGCTGGCCGAAGAAAAGCTGCGTGTCATCGGCATTATCGACCACCATGAGTCACCGGCCGCAATCCTTCCGCTCCAACCACCTCTTCACCAACTGCAGCACGTCGGTCTTGGGGTCATCATAGCCCGGGACTTGGCATTCTTGTGCGAGAAAACCATACGCTTGGCGGAACCGCTCGGCGCTGCTTGCGTGGACCCAGAAGACCGACACGTCCGGGTGCGTCTCCCGCAGCCAGAACGCGTACGCCAGCGCAATCTGCGTTTTCCTAGCGCCGATTAGCATACTATACCAAAAGCGGGAACGACCATCAATACCCAATGCCGCCCAAACCATGGAGACACGCTCTCGGCTGCGAAGCACCGCCTGTCAAAGGCTGCCCATGACCGAGTTGGCTCTTCAGCAGTTCGAGGATGTCGGAACGCCCAACAAAGTCTGGATTGCTAGTGTACGGCACGAGAACTATTCTGCTTAGCCTGACCTATGAGCGGTACGGTGGTGCTACCTACATCGTGCGGCTGAGCTCGTGCATCCATCCTGTCCATCTCCTGACCTTCCGGTATGGTCCGAGGCCGGTGGTTCCCGGTGACGTCTTTCCGACGTGTCTATTTGCTTGATCCACCGGCGGAGCTCCCCGCAGACAGCCGTGAACCCGGGGTCGTCCGCAGAGACAAATCTGGCCATGTCCATATGATTGCTGTGGATGCCAATCGGGATGTATCCCGGGAGAATTGCTGAGTGCTGCGGCACCACCTGTGCCAGTAGTTAGCCAACCACTATGAAACCAAGCTTTATGAGCCTACCTGGCCAACGCCAGGCAGAGGGAGCTCCTCAAAGAAGCAAGTGATATCGATCTGCCCTTGGCCCTCCCTGCTGCGTGCCTTGACCATCGTATGAAAGCCGTCCTGAATCCGCGCGAGCACTTCGGACTCGCGTCGGAGGACTGCCACAATCTCGGTGTTTGTCTGCTTGACGAGGCCGATATGACGGGACAGGAGCTCAGCCCATCTGGCCAGACCCGCCCCGTGGTGCGGCGTTCCGAGGAAGGCGATTCCTCGGGTCGATTGAAGGATGTTCTGGAGGTGCTCCTCCGGCCGCTGTCTCGATGTCGCTAAGGCCTGCCACCATTTTTAGCGCGCTCCATCAAATGTCAGAGTGTGTACCATACATCCTCGCAAACAAGCCCAAACGAAAACGATAGGTCGCTTGTTCTACGCCCGTCAGTGCAACCGGCCACCACGCAAGCCCGCGGGAGACAATACCGTTTCGTCCCTCTCTCGGTACGTCGCAAGAGACGTGAGCAGATTCCACGCATAGTTTCCAATCTCTGTTCTGCGCCACCACTCCTCGCCAATCTGCCACATATGCATCGTATCCGAACGTGAGCACGCGCGCGGTCGGGAGCTCGGACGGGAGGAGGACCTTAGGCCATGGGTCGGACGCGTCCCGGGCGGTCCACGTTTTCTCGCGATCGCCAGTTAGGCCGTGGACGAAAACGATGCTGGCGGGTGATCATCAGCGGTTGTGTTACAGTAACTTGGAGTGGAAATATACCTACTCGACGATAGCGTGTTCCGGGTTGTGAAACAGTTTGATGCCTGACGGGAAGGTCTCGATCGAGGACGAACTCCCCGCAACCGATCGTTGAGGCCGGTCGTGCTCAGCGGTCGGCCCGGGTGCAGCGACTTTCGGCCGCCGGCCGAAGAAATGTCGCATTCGCCGCGGAAGGGAACGTGCGTCTCGGTCCGTCAGATCGCGATCCGCTGCTGTGGTGGGGTTCGAAGGTGGACCTGGTCCAAAGACCCCGGAACATTGCGGGCTTTTACGCGCCGCCTGTGCCTTGGGAACTCTCTTGTGATGGATGGACCAATGCGGGCAGCCAGATTCCGCCGCTTCCAACTGTCGGGACGAGGCTAGCCGATTCTGGCCCTTCTGTTTGATGCTGCTGTGGGCGATCGCACCAACCGCAGCGCATGTGGAGAGGGGCGCGAGGTTGGTCTGTGGCTCTGCGCACTGCGGATGGGAGCGGCTTGTGGCTCTTAGATGCAATCCTTTGCAAAACCCGCGAGGAGCGAGTGCGACGCTGCGTTAACCCGAAAAGGGCAACTAATACCAATTTAACCATACATTTCCCAAGATATGCCTTGATCTCCTTAAAGCCCATGCAAAGTCCATTCTACCTCGTATGCTCCTCTCCTACCTTTTTTCTTCGAATTCTCGTAGGTTAGTTGGGGTGTTTGTAGGCTGACTTGAAGGCGATTCTCCAAGTGTTCAACGTCCTATTCTCGGTAGTTTAAGCGGTGCCTGCTGTCCGTGGCACGAGGTGATGAATGTGGGTTCGGTGGTGGAGGGTGGTGGGTGGTCGCTTAGGTGTTTTAGTCAGCCTGCGGTGGTTTGCGTCAAGTCGGCCCGTGGTCATTGCGAATTGTATCGTTGCCCGAACGGCCTCCGGGTTTGGAGACCAGTCTTTGCTATCCGATGGTGATTTCCTTCCTAGACAGAAGGAAATATTGCTCTTGTGGGTGTATGTACACTGGAGCAGCTCTGTTCGGTACGCTGTCCATTGTGTCACGGATGGGGCGCAACTGACCACTGCGTAACACCCTCAAAAGAGGGACCGTGGTTCGAACTGTCCAGTCGAACCAGGAGTTGCGCACATGAACCTCACACTGTCACGACCCGTGACAATTGTCTATATCGGAAGAGGAAGTATTCTACTATCTCTGCTGCTTGTCTACATGCGTACTACTCTAACGGGGCTGCCTCATTTCGATGGAGGTAGATATTGAGTCTTGCGATACCTATTCTTAAATTGAGCGAGTTTACTGGCTTCCTTCTATATCAGGCTGTTATAGAGCTGCGTTGTGTGTTTGCCTGGCAATGCTGCGTCGACTCTTTATATGTGTTCTCTATACTTCAGCTTCGCATCCATGACCACTCCGAGGATCTTGACGTGATCCTCAGGTTCGATAGTCTGTTCCTTGATTACGAATGGCTAAGCGTTAGTCTTGTTGCTTTGTGGGTGAAATGTATGACTTCTGTCTTTTCTGCCTCGAAGGTTGCACCGCTCCTCCTCTCCCAGTCTAAGGCTTTCCTAATGATGGCTGGATGGAAGTGTTGGAAGTCCAAGAGCCACGATTCCACGGTTATCACACAGATCGGAACTTACAACAATGGGATCCTTTTTCGAGCAGATGTAGAAGTGTTCCATTGAAGCTCTTACTCTAAACCGTGTGGGAGCCATCCAGACTCTATAAGATAGCTCGTTACCCGGTACTTGGTTACCCCTTACATTCGCTTAATGTAACGGTCCCAGGAGTATATTGCAACTAACTGGTGACGACTCTACGAGTTTGTCTCGAATGAAGAGAAAAGAAAGAAAGAGTGAAAGATCATGCAGGGACACTTGCCGTCTTATCCTTCGACATCCTTGGCCTGTGCGTCGACGTCGAACAAGATGGAAGTCCACCGAATCTTGAGGTTTTCCTCTGGAGTCTTGGCCGAGAGTTTGCCGAGGCCTTTACGGGCCAAGCCCGTTACACTTAGCTCCATCTCCCTGATCGCCTGTCGATCTAACAGGAGGGCATCCGCATCCGAACTTCCGAGTTTCAAGTGCCACGACTTTCCAACACCACCCCCCCAGTTGAGTCCGCGAGGGCGAGACTGGCCATTCTGCCCTTCTGAACAGATTTAAGGGACATTGTTCTTCTCCCTGCGTTCTGCCAGCTGCTCTCGCACGTCAACAAAGCCACAAAAAACTTGGCAGTGTTTGACGGAGCGCTTTCCGCATGCCAAGAACTGCGTATCCGACCCTATAACTAACATCATTTCATGTGCCTGTTTCGGAAGGCGGTAAGGTGCGAAGAGGCGGTGGCTTCTTCGACCCTGCATCTGTGCCGAATTTGGCTGCTCCAGGCCATTGGCCTACGAGTATTTTGTTTTACCGCCCACTCACCGCCTAAACGACCGCCTTAGCCCAGAGTGTCTAGCTCACCGCCTTAGCCCCACCCGCCTGCCCATACCGCCTTACTCACACCGCCTTTACCTACACCGCCTTACCCACACCGCCTTGCCCACACCGTCCTGCTCCGCGGATTGCTCACCGCCTTGCTTGCTGGTTCATCGCCTTGCCTCCCGCTTGTCACGGACTGGATCCAAGGGGCGCTTTGGTGAACCTTGGCCGACCTCCTGTACAAATATGGTCTAGCAAGCCCCTCCGGGATGAAGCTATACCCATTTGACTAAGCACTGAATGCCGTCATCTACGCCCCTGTGGTCTTGCCCGCTTCTGAAGCCTTCCAGCCTTCAGAGGTTTTGTATGGCTGACCCACTTGATTGGTGGTATGGCCACCATCCAAGTGGGTCTGTTGTTGCGCGATGACTCCACACCGTTCACGTCCGCAATGCATCGATGCCTCAGCGACACATGCCGGACCTGTCAGGAGGCGACTCAACACTTGTTAGAAGCGAATTCGGCGAAAGCCAAGAGTACTCGTCTGCTTCATTTAAGGGAAGATCGGCTTTTTTGGAAGTGAGCCGCCCTGCCAAGGGACCGCGGCGGTGGCGCAACCCGAGACAGTGGCCGAGGTGGCCGACCGCCCACCCTCCCCAAACGACCGAGCCGCGCCCCGACAGATTGATAGTAACGGGGAGGCGATGGCTTCATTGATGATTTCACGGCCTGGGTCGCGGGTCCAACAGCAAAGAGTACTCGCAAGGGCATCGAAACTATCATTAGCGATGCATTGGACTGGAAGAGGAGAAGCGGAGCGACATTTGAAGGAGAAAAGACGGCCGTCGCCCACTTCACCCGCAAGGCGTTCAAGGCGGACTCAAAGCCCTTCATCTTCAAGGCCCAAGCTATTGAGCCCAGGACACGTCAAGGTCCCTGGGGTGGTCATGGACACCAAGCTCAGATACAGGGAACACATTGCAAGGATTGCCTCCAAAGGGCTCGACGCAGCGATGGAGTTGAAGCGCCTCAGAATCTTGTCTCCGCTCGCGGCCCGGCAGCTGTTCACGGCTATGGTTGCCCCAGTGGTCTGCGCGTAATATCTTGATCATCACCACCTCGCTCCCTACTATGTTGTTTATCAGTGTCCCTTTAACTTTATGATTTCTCTCGATCTTTCCTTTCCCGCATCTTTGCTCAACCGGCGCTTACAGCATGTATATTACAACAGACTCTACCAACTGTAAGACCTACTTCTATCACCAGCAGCAAGTACTAGGCCGAGATCCTCCAGACACACTCTCTACTCTCTTTTTTCTGAAAGAGTGGCAGGAGCAGGACGGTAACACGGGCTCTTCGGAGACGATTAATGCTTCAGGGTAGCAGTAGCGTCAGCGTACCAGTACTTCTGCATTATGCTATGTTTAGGGATTCTTCAATAGTCATCATGTGTAGTCTGTCGTATAGTGCTATCTGATCCCATATTTCCGAGCATCCCTTGCGTGTTCTCTTGCCGTTGCCGACAGGCTGCACAGCAACACGATCAACCTCACATTTTTCCTGACAAAACACCTGCCGGCTGCCCAAATTTGTGCGATTCCGTTTCTGAAAATGGTCAGCGGACGCCCTGCCATTAACGATACTTTGGAGTACTATACTTTCCGTGGCTACCGTGCCAATTTCAGGACACAGTGCCGTGTATTCGGAGTGCATGGTTCTGCAAATGCATCTTGTTGTCTAGTGGGATGCAACAAACCTGGCACTCAATCTCGTCGCTGTCCCGCAGATTAGACAAGTGACGCCGGCGGAAGTGTTTGGACAAGTCGCTAGAAGTATAGAACTCGTCGATGAGTTTTTCCACATTAGGATCATCCGGTGCCAGCGACATCGCCTTTCCGATGCAAATGAAGCACCTTCTTGGCCGCTCCTTTTCGTCCCGCACGAAAACGGACAACGCGGCAGCGTATAGAGGACTACCTGCTTTAGGTTCCTCGAGACGTTTCGTAGATTTCGTTGCCACAGTGCTGGTACGGCATGGGCTGCGCCCCTCCTCCACAGAGCAGTACGCAATGATTGCGTGAATGGCCTTGTTTCTCCGCCTGTACTGATTCTCGAGTGTCTGCTCAGCCGGAGCCGTGATCGCCGCGACCAATCGCTTCTGAGCTGGATGCTGAGGCGGGTAGGGAAACTCTGTCAGCTGCGGGGCGAACCCTTCGCCACGAAGTTGGCGATTGATGTCGTCAACGGCCTGCTGCGTGGTCCACTCCTCCCTGATCTTCCTCAGAAGAGCATTCTTCATCCTCTGCTTTGCATTTTTGATTTTGCGAAGGGCGCGTATGCGCTCTTTGGAACTCATAGGCATTTTCTGTAACTTCTGCTTCATGTCCCTGATTCGAGGATCGGTACTGATAGATGCTACCTGCTCAGGTGTCAGGCTAATGGGCCGCCGCTTACTGATCGAATGCGCGATTCCACAAGATTGCGTTATCAGCGCCTGCTGCGGGCGTTCTCCCAGGACGATTGCGTAGGTGTCGGCGCAAATCTCTCGTGCGAGGTAGTGTCTTTGGAACGGAACGGAGTTGGCGTGCCCTAGGCACAAGTTCTTCAGCGCGTCACTGATATTGGCTGTGGCGCGAAAGGTTAGCTAGAGTGACTTGCCTGAAGGAAGGGGTTAGAACAGACGGCTCTGGTCAAGCTTATTGCCTGTGCCGTAGCGCAGGCTATAAGCGATCACGGTATATTCGATTCCCAAAATTTCACCGATCGCTTTGATCCACCCGGACATCGTGGCGTATGTTATACGCTCGTTACCCTCGTTTAAGGATATTTGGTAGCCCGTCGCGGTTTTTATAGCTTTGCGAAATATATATATGTCGTTCAAGTCGCTTCGAAGAGGTATAGGTAATTCATTCTCTCCCGGGTAGATGTCCAGTTTCTCTATTCCCTCTGGGGAGGTCAAGTGGGGCGCTAGGAACGCTTTGTGACGGAATAATAGCGCTAGGAGGAAGACATGAGGGCTGAGGAGTAAGGACCGGTGGAAAATGCCTTCAGGCACGGTGAAAGTGACACTAGAGTAGCGTAAACATCGAGCGTAAACCAGCAAAAATCAGCATGTACTTACGATTCCTTAGCACCAAGGTATGTCTTGGTGAATTCCGGAGTGAACTTAATCATAAGATTGTGTGGTCCGCCCTCGGGGTCCCTCGCGAGGGTGACTCTGATATCTCCATATCGGAGCAGCAAGATGGACTCTGGGCGAGAGCCACCGGGAGAGAGGAGGAGGAGGAAAAGTACGGCATAGATGCGGAGCTCGCCAAGGTCAAATGACTTCTTTGTAGTGCTCAACGTCGTTTCGATCTGGTCCTTGAGTGTCTCAACTGTCATGAACCGATTCCTTCGCCTCGTGGTGCGTAGTCCGTGTTTCACGACTAGGCGTTGCAGTACCTGTAGGAGTTAGCACGGCATCCAGCGTTGCAAGGCTCGGACGACCTACCTCTTGCATTTCGTTATAAATATGTGTATCAAACTTCTTTCTCATCGCCACCTTATACACAATCTGCAAATTCTTCCACCTCGTGTTAAGAGCGCCGCTCGACTTCGTTCCTGCTTCTTCCTACCCTTCTTGCCGAGTTTCTGACATATTGTTTATTCAAGAAATTTTTCTAGGGTGGGAATCGACACACCCTCGAAGACTTTTCGAGGATCGCCCAAGCGAACTTCGGTGCAGAACCTAGAGATCGTCATTGTCAAAAATGCTTCAAACAACAGCTCTGTAGGCTACATACTGGCCCCACTGTTCCTCGACCTCAATGAGGCGCAGCTTTGTTTTGGGAGCGTAGCGTGAGTAGGGATCTCTCTGAGCCGGCTCTTTTATCCCTCGGCTGTAATACTCCGGTGGATGCACATTGCCACGATAGAGCTGAACTTGGTCGTCAATGTCGAAGTCCTCACCACTCAAATCTGAATCACTATCATCCGGATCCAAGTTATCCAGGTCCAAGTCCGTCGCTTCAGTTGAGTCAACTCCGTGGTTTTCGTCGGTGTCAAACAAGTCGCCATCGTCGCTGGGCGAGAAGTCTGAATCAGAGACATTCTCAAATGAACGCCGGTGGTGACCCATAGCGTTACTATGGCTGTGACAGACGCTTGAATATGGTAGAAGCTGAGCCGAAGAGAGAGAGTGAGAGCAAGCCCATGCCGGCGCAGAGCGAGTGCGAGCACGGCACTTCACGACCGAGTGAAGTGGCCGTTTTTTAAGTGTCAGAAATCGAAAAATAAACTGCAGGCGGGGTTCTGAATTTTAGCGCTGGGGCCTGAGAGATGTGGTCAGGTAAGGTACAGTACATGAGCGGGGACTCCAAGGTACATTGGGCGGTACAGGCGCAGTACATCATGTGTGGCTTACTGCCGAGCGTCTTGGGCCCACCGGGCATATCAGCGACAATTTCTGGCACATCTCCCACCTACCTCGGAGGCGGAATCCACCAAAATGAGCGGCACAGATGCCGTCACATTCTTTTCATTACATGACATCATGGATGTGGAGGGGAAACGCCTATATGGGCTGGGTGGTGTCTCAGGCGGTGAGCATGGCTAATATAGAAGGCGGTCGTCACAGTGGTGTGCTGGGGTGGGGAGCGGTGTACATATCTTAGATGCAATAATAGGAAGGCGGTGACGTGGTCCCCGGTCTTGATTTGGCGCTTTGGCTTCGTGCATCCAGCACAATGTCACCGCCCTGAGATGATTCTCAAGCTGCATCTCACTCCACCTACTCCTTCTCCGGTCAGCCTGGACATCGCCGGAGCATCGCCGGAGCTTGGAGTATACCAGGTTCACCTGGGACCATTACATGACATGACATTACAGATTGAGGGGGACCGCCCGTATGGGTTAGGCGGTGCTTCACGTGGTAAGCATGGCTAATACGGGAGGCGGTGTTCACAGTGGTGTGCAAGGGGTGGGGAGCGGTGTAAATATGTCTTACGCGCAATAGGAAGGCGGTGATGCGTTCCTCGGTCTTGATTTGGCGCTTTGGCTTCGCACTTCCCAACACAGTCTCACCGCCTTAAGATGACCCTTTTGTCCCACTATCATTGCCTCGAGCTGCTATCCCACTCCACCTACTCTTTCGCCGGTAAGCCACGGACACCGCCGTAGTTAGCTTGGGAGAGCCATCTACGACTACACGGATAGGAAGGCATATAACCTAAAGATGGCAATGCGTCATATTCTTGACCAAATTTGCAAAAAACCTTCATATGTTAACTAAATACACTCAGGCCCGTAGTTTAACGCCGTGGACCCTTTCTACGTGGTTCTTGAAATGGTTCAAGTGCTTAAACTTTAATGCCTCCTCGCTGCACTTCGGGTGGTGACACGACATCTGTTTCACGCCACCTAGCTGCCGCGCGTGCTTCCTATCGAAATGGTCGTACATCACCGCTGGTCGACAGTACTTGAATGTTCTTTCGTCAAAGGATAGGGTTTCATCCCCGATGCAGAGTGGGCATTGCTTCCTGTCCATTAGAAGTGGAAAGGGGTCCGGCTCGGGAGACTCCTCCTTCACTGCAACCTCGGTCCGTGCCCTCTGCCGGATGCGGTCCCTCTTTCTGGTCTCTCGTTTGTCGCACAAGACGACCATGAGCTCAGCAGCCTGGATGCGGAGTTCGAGCAGCCCAATGGAGCTTAAGTTGTCCGGCTGGTTGCAGAGGATTTGGGCGAGCTCAGCGCGCTCAGGTAGCTGTAGGTCGACAGCCGGCTCAACATACTCGTCCTCGCTCTCGTCGGCCTCGATGTCCCAGGTCGGACGGTTGTAGAAGTAATCTTCTCGGTAAGCTCGTCGTATATTTTTCTTCCGCTGCGCCTCCTTGCTCGCGATCAACCTGGTAAGTTCTCGAATCCGGTCCTCGTTTTCTGTGCCTTTGACCCGGTACTGGCTGCCTTTGAGCTGTGCCCTCTCTGACTTCAGTGCCTCAATCTCCGGATCGGGCGGCATCATGTCCCAAACCTGATCGGGAACCATATCCTTCCTTGCGCGGGGATCACGCATGTGGCCGATATGCGAGAGCATTGCAAGAAGGCTGTCTTCGGTCGGCTCCTCGAGGAACGCGTTCTGAAGGTGGAACCCGACCTTTTCGTTGATGTATGCGCTGTTGAAAGTAGCCCACTTGGGGTCGTGACGCATCATCTGATCGCGGACAGCATCAGAGGCATTGCCTGTTTGCCGTTAAACAAAGCTACTCTAGGGATAAGAAGGACATACCGTTTGCCGCGTTGGCTGCCCCCCTACGCCAGGCCTTCGGTTCAATCGCTCTTTCTTCTCCAGCGTCGAGCGATTGCCGCGTCATGTCGTCTAACAGCTTCTGGTATGGGAGAGGTTGATACTTTGAGGTAGTTGAGCTGTCTGATGCGTTTTCCGAACTGGACTCGTCGGAGTCCTTCTCAGCAATGGAGTCGTCAAGTCGACGGAAAACCGGCCGCTTGAGCCATTCCTCCTTCCAGCGAAAGGGAGTACACTTGACTGGTCCCCGGTTCTTGTGCTGAAAGACTTCTCTAACGCTAGTGAACTTCGACGCAGCAAACGCGCCGTCGTGGACTGCTAGGCTGACGATGACGCTTATGAAACAGAAGATCAACCTCCTAGTGGGTGTAAAGAAGAAGATGGTCCTGGAGGGAATATTGTTAGCTCCAAGACGACAGAGATAAGTGGGTGATCACTTACGGCTTCGGCTTGTTGTCCGCCCCTTTGTGGTGCGCAAGCCGGATGGCCATAGCTAGGACGTCCTCGCCGGTTTCCGGGTGGCGTACGACCATCAGCTGAATGTCCTCGTAACAGAGCGCCTTTGGGCGTCCACGGCTCTCGTACTCTTGCGACATCATCTCTTCCAGCAGCCTGGAATGCTCATCGGGCGCCTTGTCTTCGTCGCTAGGGACACTCCCAATAGCGTGCCGGGGGAAGAGCTCCTCAAGACACCCATCCTTGCCGCTCTTTCTCTCGCCGTCCACAAACTCGGCCGGCCTGGCCCCGGTGAAGGCAAGGCCGAGGTAGCACCCCAACAACTGGATACGGTGCCTCTCCCGAGAGAAGATGCCGGTGTCGTACTTGATATTGAACGTCTGCAGGACCAGCAAAGTGTCTGCGTTTGCGACGTCCTTTCCACGGGTGCATGGTGCTTGCAGGCCGTACCTCGGGACCAAAATGGCATCGTGCCACTTGCAAGACGTGTTAGCTATTGCGTCGGTGTACGAGGGCCTGGGGATGTACCTTTTTGACTTCTTTACTGTCGTTCCTGTCCATATAGCGGCCCGTGGCACTGGCATACAGCTGCTTGTACTGACGGAAGTACTCCCAGGACGAAGCCCACGACCCGATCCTGCATGTTTGACAAAGATATTCGAGGAAATCCATCGCCATCGCTCGGTTTGCTTTCTGCATCACCTCTCGCCAGGTTCCCGGTAGCTTAGCGAACTCGCAGTATCTCGAGATTCATCAGCAAAGAAAATGGGCAGAACAGGAAGGGAGGTGACGGTTTACCTCTTCCATTTTCGCAGCAAACCGGCGATGTTGATCTTGGTCTTGTCGGCATAGTCGGGCGTAAGGAACTTGGTGTCCTCAAGCTGCTTGCGGAGAGCTGCGCGCTGCTCGGCCGTATAAGCTGCTGGCCGTTTCGTAATTTGCTTCTCAGCTTCTCGTTGGGTGAAGCGCCGGACGAAATGCGCATTGTAATGCCGGTCTTCCGTGAGCGGCTGCGGCGGGCGACGTGCTGGCATGGCGATGGCGTTGAGTGCAGAAGGCAACGCCGCCGACTCTAACGACAACGGCCGACGAGGCGGGAATGACGGGAAGCGCGAGCGGCGCCATCTTATGTATGTGTGGCTGCGCTGGGAAGCCAAAAACGGATCCAGTTAAGGCGGTTTCCTGGATTTCGGAAACGACTTCTTTCTCGAAACCAACTGCTGAGGACTAGGACGCTTATTGGAGGATGTTGTAGGTGGGGTAGTGAGGTCCCGAGTACCTCGCTGTGACCAAGCGCCCCGCACTGTCGAGACACCCGAAAATGGCGGCCTGCCCCGCCAAATTCGGCGGCTAGAACAGCAAGTTCTGTACTTAATCTGTAACTTATTACGCAGATTCGTAAACCATTCAGCTAGTTCTTACGTACTTTCTCACTCCCCTTCAGATCGACATCTTTTAAGCCAGTCCAAACAGGAGAATGAACCATGACAAAGGATAATACAGAGATTTTGTCCAGTCTCGGTGCGAAACCAACCCTTGCATCACTGGATTACCCGACTGTTTAAGACGTGGGCCTGGAGCTGCAAAAGTACCATCGTTACCCTCGAATTCCCTCGGAGAGGACAATCGGCACTGAATCCTCTAACGGTAACCGAAGCCGACTTGGCCAAGCTAATCGATGCCACCTCTACAACCGTTAGGCGAATTCTGTTTGTGGAGAACATCCAACCCCATCTGATCAAGTCTTCTCGGCGAGATCTTGGATGTGGATCCAATCTTCTTTGCTGGCCATGTCACCACCGACTTCCAAGACATTGAGAAAGCACCGCCTCCCCCTTCTCTTGGGTTGTTTCCATCCCAAATCACTGAGAAAGTCTACCTTCATCTCCACTACCAGCAGGTACTAGATCTGGGCAGCGCAGGCGCATTCAAGTCTTCATCCTACAGTCTGAGATCAGACTCCAACGTTCCTCGAAATCTCAGACGCCTACCCCAGCTGTCGGGCCGACAGCTTGCTCTTGCCCGAGCGTTTTTGGTGAAAATAATCAAGGGTCATGGAGTTGTAAGCCCTACTCAATGTTGACGACGTCTCTGACATCAACAGGTCTGATTCTCGTGGATCCTCCAACAAAGATCGTGGTTGAGACATTGGGGTCGGGCGACCGAAAATCATATCCAAGTATGCTCTTGCATGGAGGGTTTGAAGACTTTGGGCATTCATGCTCAGCAACCTTCTCCACTACTTTCGCCAACAACTTCCTGGGTTCATGGTACTCGAGCCTCGCATCTTGAGCCTTGGTTACTACCCTATTCGCATCGTCTTAGCTGAGTGGGTCCTCTATACGCATCTGATGAGTCGCTACTTCAAGTATTACGAATACACCCTGCGTGACATCGAGAATTGATTGCACGATAGCGACATCATTGACCTCCGGCGTTGGCGGCGTTGGCGGCGGCGGAGCATGCAAAGCCGGCACAAGCTGATTCTTCTCTCCGTGTTCATCGAATACTGGTTGCAACAGAAAGCCGAGACACAGCTGTGGGATTCAGTGCTGAAAGATATCAAGCATCCGCTGTCACAGTTGGAGCAACATAGCCGCTCGCTCGAGCACATGGTCCCGATGGCAACGTCGATGGTGCGGCTGCTCGAGTCCCGGCGCTCGATGCTAGAGGCTGCCAACGTTCGCCGGCTCACTTTTAATGCGCTGGTGTTTGTGCCGCTATCTTGGGTCGCCAGTCTGTTCAGTATGGCGGATGATTACTCTCCAGGACACAGGAACTTTTGGGTGTATTTTGCTACTGCACTTCCAGTACTGTTTCTGGTCCCGCTTTTATCAGCTGTGCAATGGGGCCAACTAAAGGGAAAGCTGAAGGAGGTCGGGGAAGTTTTGAGGTGGCGAGCAGAGAGACCGAGGACCGAAGCAGTGTTAGCGTAGTCACGCGGAACGTTAACCGGACCGTCAACCGTTCTGAATCCGTCTTCTACCTTGAGTTAAGGAGCGGGATATGGGATTTCCTTAGCGACGAGTTCATTCGACTGTGATGAAATCCGATCCTGGTAGAACTCTATTTTCTACCAATCAGACAAACGGATCAAAGCACACTCCGAGCTTGCTCCACTCGAGGGGGTTACAATGCACGCTCTTGGCATCCATCCCGGGATGGAAGGAGCTAAGAGCATCTCCGCCACGTGCTTGAAGATGACGGCAAGGTGACTAGTGATGAGGTGAATGTGTGGAGAAGGTAGGGTTGAGGTTCGAGCTTATTCCAGTATGCAGGAGTCAGGTACATGTATCGCACATGCGGGATGCTCCAACACACGTGCTTTTGACCCACTCCTTGGACCCGATCCGTCCGTTATATATTGGAGCGCGCTCCCCTCTTGACTTGCCTGAGAACGGGACGTTCATCAGCCCTTCCTAAAGGCCACTATAAGAATGACTGCACTACGGTTCCTCGCTTGGTCGGCGCTTGTCATTGCGGGGCTCGCGGCGCCCCATAACGACGGCCATGGCAACGGCAAGGAGACTGTCAAGCGCGTCAAGGAGATCTCGCTCGGTCCTCGTCCGTATTGGCTCGTCGATAACATGGACGAAGGCCCGCTCAAGACGAAACTCGCCTCGTGCTCGGAAAAGGAGATGAAGCGGAGCGACTGGAGCATCTCGCATCGCGGCGGTGGAACCTTGCAGTTCCCCGAGCACACAAAAGGGTCGATCATGGCCGGCGTGAGCACCTCCCTCGAACGGCGGTTAGAGGTTGTTCTGACTCTGGTAGACGCGGATGGGCGCTGGCATCCAGGAATGTGACGTGACCTTCACCAAGGACAAGCAGCTCGTGTGCCGCCACGCTCAGTGCGACCTGCACACTACGACCAACGTGGTTGCCATCCCTGAGCTCAACGCGAAATGCACAACACCCTTCAAGCCCGCCGCCAACGGGTCTCCGGCCACGGCCAAGTGCTGCACGTCGGATTTCACCCTCGACGAGATCAAGACGCTCTGCGCCAAGATGGACGCCTCCAACCCTGCCGCCACCTCGCCCGCCCAGTTCCTCACGGGCACGCCCCTCTACCGGACCGATCTGTACGCCAAGACGTGCGAGCGCGTGCTCACCGTCCGCGAGTACATCGACCTCGTCGACGGCCTGGGCCTGAAGTTCACCGCCGAGCTCAAGACGCCCGAGGTGCCGATGCCGTTCCCCGCCGGCAGCGACTACACGCAGGCCAAGTTCGCGCAGCAGCTGGTCGACGAGTTCAAGTCGGCCGGCATCAAGCCCGAACGCGTGTGGCTGCAGTCCTTCCTCTACGACGACCTGTTGTACTGGATCAAGGCAGAGCCCAAGTTCGCCAAGCAGGCTGTCCTGCTGGACGAGAGCGGCGACGAGCCGGGAACCATGCCCCAGGCCGTGGCCAACCTCACAAACTATGCAAAGGCGGGCGTCAAGATCATCGCGCCGCCTCTGCCGTACCTCGTCACGGTCGACAATGGCAAGATCGTGCCCAGCGAGTACGCCATCACGGCCAAGAAGCTCGGTATGAAGATCATCACCTGGAGCCTGGAGCGCAGCGGCTGGCTGGGCGACGGCTCCGGGGGCGGATACTACTACAGCAGCATTGCCAACGTCACTAACAACGAGGGCGACGTCTACAATCTGCTGCATGTGCTGGCGCAGGATGTGGGTGTCATTGGCGTCTTCTCGGACTGGAGTGCTACCGTCACCTATTACGCCAACTGCTTTGGTCTCTTTTAGGGAGTGAGGCGTTCTTAGCAAAGGGAGTTGCAGAGGGGACTCTGTCGAAAATCGACCCTGGCACACAGACACCTTAGTCGGGTCTCTCGACCAGATGCTGTATAGAACTCCGGCATTAATTGAATGTAATGGTAAAGTCGCTACTCGCAAAATGCCCTCCGCGTCAGCTTTCATGTTTCGGAAGACGGGGGTCTCGTTGGTGCGTATGTGCAATTAGCCGCCGGGTACACTCGTGGTCCAGGGACATGGACGACATGACAGCGCGACCATTCGACGGCCAAGGTAGGATTGAATTCATCCATAACTGACACATGGCACGTTAGCCAACTTTTATGCATCACGTCTACACATATGATGGTGGCCTTACCATCGTCTTGACCCTCCAAGAACCTTTGCTCCAGGACGACTCGAGATGGCTGAGACAAGGTCAATTGACCGAAAGGGTCAGTCTCCTTGGCGGTTTCTCGGCCGCCGTTTCCCGTCGTTACTGCTCTTCTTCCTTCATGCGTTGGCGTCGTCAGCCGTTTCTCCTGTCGCTTCAACACATTGTCCCAACAGGCCCTGGGGGAGATCCCAAGACGACGAGCTTGTGTCCTGCCCTGTTCCAGGGATGCTCCAAGCCCCGGACGGTGTGAAGGACAATACCACTCCCTGGACATACCCTCCCAAGTGTGTCGGCCAAATATCAAAAAGCAACAACGGTACCCGGCTTGACTGTCTCTTCACGTCGGCAGAGTTTCGAAACGGACACGGCACGAGCCTGATCACGACGCATGCCATCGTCTCGCATCTTATCGGCCTCGAAGCGTTTCATGACAGGCCACAAAAACTCAGTGCCCAGCAGCGCGATGCTCAGGGACCGGCATATGAGATTGTCCCGATCCAAGGAAAAGGAAAAGGTGTGGTCGCCACGCGCAGGATCCGAAGGGGCGAAATTGTCATGGTCGACGTGCCAGCGGTGCTCATCGGGATCTCCTTCCTGGGTGATACCAAACCGCACCATCGACGCCGCCTGATCAAACAAGCCATGGCGCAACTGCCGGAGACCACACGTAGCAAAGTCCACAGCCTCTCCCGGGGTTCGGCAATGTACGAGGTGGACGCGATCTTGGGACCCAACTCCAACACGGTCATGGTGGCTGAGGATGAAGTACACGTCGGGTTATTCGCCGAGGCTGCGGTATGTTTCTGTCCCGATGAGCGGAACATGGCATGATCGGTGAATGCGAACCGAAGTTGGCTAACGTCTCCTTTTAGAGGATCAACCACTCGTGCCGACCAAAGTAAGTTCCGGAGATGGCTGTGTGACGGAGAAACTTCCATTTCGTCAGGTCTGTTGACAGGGATCAGTGCCTATTTCAAGTTCTCGGAACGTAGGCTGACCATGGAGGTGGTTGCCTACCATATCATGGAGCCGGGCGAGGAGATCCTCGTGAGCTGTAAGTCCTCAACCCGATTTGTCCTCCTAACTGACTCGCTCACTGCCCCAGATGTACCCCTCGAAACGCCCCTCGGAAAACGCAGACAGTACTTGAAAGACCACTGGGGCTTTGACTGCACCTGCTCGCTCTGCCGCGGGCCAGAGGCAGACATCGAGGACTCCGAGAACTGGAGGAGGAAGATCAAGAGCCTCAAGGAGACAATCGAGGATGCCAAGAGTAACGGCTTCTACCAAGACGCCATCACCATGACAGAAGAGTGGCTCTTGATCTCCGAGTGGGACAGGGCCCCAGTGTTCATGCCCGAGTATCACGACGCGCTCGCCGATTTGTATTTTCTGAATGGGGACATGGTCAACGCCACAAGACACGCTCGAATGGCCGTGGATGGCTGGGCGAGGCTCGGGAGTGTGGATGATGAGGGCCTGGAGAATGCCAGGCTGTTCTTGAGGCGGTTGGAGATGTGAACATGACGCATGAGAGACCCCGAGGTTCTTATACCTTGCATCGGCATCATGGCTGCCCGAATCCGACCGCCGAGTCCTATTCAGTGGGTAGAATCTCTTGACGTCGAATTCGATACTCTATCCCCTCTGTACTGTTGTGATTCGGCCAGAGTCCCCGCTTTGCATGTGTCCAGGGACAGGCATGAAGAGTAGAGGATTAAGCAAGTGGTTAAACTCATATTCCCAATTCAGCTCAAGACCTGAACCAGTCTCGGCAGCTTGCATGTGCGTCTGATTCCCCGGGTAGAAGGCGTCCCAGTTGGTGTTCAGGTCGCCATCGCTGAAGCCCAGCTCCGCTGTGTCGAACACCGTATCCGGGGTAGAATCGGGGCCTGTCCCCGTCGCTGAATCTGTGGGTTGTGACAGGAGTGGTGTGTACGTAGGCTCGCTGCTGGAATTGCCGCCGTTATGCTCGTGCTGCTGGGGACCGTATTCGCTCAGGGGTATCTGGGACTGTTTGTAGAGGCCAAGCAGTCTCGGTTGCAGGTTGAGGACAATCTCGGCGATGCGAGGGCGAATGCGCTCCTCGACGTCCTGAAACTCGTCGCGGAATAGAGTCTCCAACTCTCGGCGCACAAGCGTGGGCATCTCCCTGCGGATAAAGGTGGCGTAATCCTCTAATTCTCCAGAGCCATGCACCTCACGACTAGAGCCTTCGCTGTCGAAACCATTGTAATCTTTCGGCAACTGTTAGTCATCTGCGCCTTCTTTTTTTTTTTTTTTTTTTTTTTTTCGAGACAAACAACTCACATGGCGACGGAATAGCACTCGGGTCGTCGTCCGGGAAGAGAATCTTATAGATCTCGAACCACTTGTCCTCGTCGGTCATGTCCGCATGCGACTTTTTCCGACTTCGGAGCTTCTTTTCCTGATCCTTGGTGAAGCCCTCTTGTAGCAACCGGTTGCCCTGGATGGCGCATGGCGGGTCTTGCTGCAGGTGTGACTGGAGCGGGGCGTCCGACTTGAATACATCCCAGCATCGGGGACACTGGACGGGAAGCGCGTGCCGCCTGTAGAGGTGAGTCCTGCAGGTTACCGTCAGTATCGCACAGTCCAGAAGGAAGCTCAGCGGACGTACTTGACTCGATGTACTTCGTCCCATCCCGGGCCGGGGCAAGAAGTCCAATTGCGATACTTTTTTGGGTTCCTCTTGAAATAAGGGCAGGCAAACTTCCCGCAAACGTTCGCCCCTGGAACCGCGGCGAGGGGTGGGGCTCGTTTTGTCTTCTTCCGCCTGCCGTCGCCGTCCGCATCCTCCAGGACGGCCTGCAACGTGACCCACCGGAGTCCCTCTGACTCGGCCACTCTTTTCGTCTTCGAAGTCACGGCTTGCTCTCCCAACGCCTCATGTGAGGGCGGTGCCGGTCGGGGGGCATGGTGCGCTGCCGATCGGAACAAGGTCTGACCATAAAAGGCGTCAGAAGGGCTTGGGAGGAGATGATGTAGCGAAGGCTCGCTGCCCAAAAGGCCGGATTGGGTATCTCCCAAGATGTTGGGTGGTAGCGCCGGGTCGAGAGCCGGAGCATGGCTCAGGGTCAAGGTGCTTTCCGTGCCCGCAGGGTTTGGAATGGAATTGGGCACTGAGAAGTCGTCAAGCTCGCTGTCTGTGCGTTGTCGAGTATGAACTGTTTGTCGTCGCTGCGGAGCACTTCTGTATCTCGAAGAAGCCTGGTTGTCCGGCTCAACCGTAACCCCTTCACCCGTGGCTGTGTTATCCGATTTATCGCGAATCTTACCCCGAGACAACACGCGAGCACCGAATCGCCTTACTAGTCGCGCCGAAGAATGGTCGGGAACGTCTTCGGAGTCGGCAGGGCGAGGCACTGCTCCGGAAGTCTCTTGTGCCTGGAAGATAGCAAGCGGCTGAGCGGCGCTGTCACTCGATTCGACGAGAAGTGCAGTTGGAGGAAAGAGATTGCCCGCGCTTGCAGATGTGGCTGCCGTTGGAGGAGGTTGCGGAACCGGAGAAGGCGAACCGAGGCGGAGGAAAGGCCGGCTTCCAACGGGCGAACGGTGAACAGGCACGATATTCGGGGGCGCACTGGGAGGCTCGGGAACTGGTGCGCTGGCCTGTAGCCGCATCGGGGGAGCAGTGGCTACAGGAGAAGCTGCAGCTAATACTGGGACAGTCGCGGCGGGCCTTCTGAGTACCAGCGGCATGTTCGAGACCGGGGCTGCGGGCGGCGAAGGGAGAGGAAGATGTTCCGGGGAGCGCTTCTTTGACAGGCGGCCCATGACAAATCTCTTGCGGGCTGTCTTTGTTCTATGGACCTTAAGCTCATCACCGTCATCTTCCAAAGGATCTGTTTCATGTTCCTGCTTGATGATGGGGTCCGTCCTTGTCTCCTTGATCACGGCGATCTTGTTGTCGAGCGAGGCGCAGAAGCTTCTCATGATGCGGTCGATGATGTCCAATCGGGTGTGATCGGGCGCAGTACCACTAGGAGTCTCTTCGTCTGCGCTGGGACTCTGCGACTTGTCGGACCACGGCCATGAGTTCACGTCTTCATCGCCTGATTCAAAGTCGCTGCCCCCTGGGGCATGAAGTACGCCTTTGTGCGACATGATGGCCTTCGCGCCGCCAGAATCCTGAGGACGGAAACGGGAAAAGGCGTTGACCAGACTGGCGATGTTAGCTTCGGAAGACTGCGTTGATTCTGACCGAATCGCTGAGGAGGAGGACGTGGTGTCTATGCGAGTGTCTTGGTTGCGGTTTGAGCGAAGACCCCGTGACCCCAGAGCTCCCTTCGGATTGCCGGGGTCATGACGGTCTTGCAGCGGAGAAATCGGCATCGGAATCCAGCGATTCTCAACAAGCAATTAACATTGGGTTGAATCAGTAGCAGCAAGATCAGGTACAGGAATGTTGGCGTATCTGGCGGCATTTCAGATGAAAACGACAGTTCACCGAGTTCAGCTCCTTCCCAGTTCTGCGCAGTTGGGCAGAATGAGCCGCACCCTCGGTTACGAGTCCTCGAAACAGAGCGCACGGGTTAGGGTTGAAACAGAGCCCTTCATGACTGTTTCCAATGCAAGGACAAGGACCATGCCTTTCTGATTCAATTGCTTCATTCGGTCAAGTCGATTCTCCAGGATTTCGCGCTCTACTCGAAACTAACAGGCGCAACTGTTCCTGAACAAACTCCCTTCCTCACTGGACTGACATGTGGCACGTGAATCACCACCGGCCATTGGATTCTCCGCGCTTACGCCCGGGTCCAGCCAGCATGAAACTCGGCCGATGTCGCCGTCGTCCAGTCACACCCAGGAGTCAAACTCCCAATTCGACAAACCTGACATTGGGATTTGACCGTTAATCTCTCCTTCGGAACTGGACCACAATGGGCAAGTTTTTTGAAACCATTCCCGAGTACCTGGCGATTTGGATCCTGGAACAGAAGGTGTTCTGGGTTGCGACCTCACCGCTCTCGGCGTCCGGCCATGTCAATGTGTCGCCCAAGGGCGGCCCCTACTTTGGACTCCTGGACGACAAGACATTCTGGTACATGGACCTCACCGGCAGCGGCAACGAAACCATCTCGCACCTTTACGAGCCCGGCAACGGCCGCATCACCGTCATGTTCAACTCGTTCGAGGGCTCACCTCGCATCGTCCGCCTGTTTGGTCATGGCTCGGTCCTTGAGCGAGGGATGCAAGACTTTGACGATTTCGTTAAGAAGCACGACGTCGAGGTCATCCCGAGCTCCAGGTCCATCATCATCGTCAGGATACACCAGGCTGCGAGCTCGTGCGGGTTTTCTGTCCCGTTCTACGAATTCAAGAGCTTCCGAAATACGCTGAACGAGGTCTTTGCCAAAAGGGAAGAGAAATATCGGCAGGGTAACGAGGAGGAGAAGGTGGAAAGGTACGTCTGGCGATACTGGAATCAGCCGGCCCCGTATTGATAAACTCAATCAGGTACTGGGCCTGGAAGAATGCATATAGCGTCGACGGTCTGCCAGGGATGCAAATCGGATGCCGGACGGGCAAAGAGGAGGGCATTGCCCCCATCGAGAAAATGGTCGGTCCTATGGCGCCCCGGGCCTACCGCAACGACCAAAGGTTCACTACCTGGCACCTCGTCCTCGTCGCGCTTCTATCGGCCATCTGTACAGCGATCTCGCTCTCGATACTGCTTGGTGTGCTCCCACACAGCTCCTATCTCTCAGGCGTCTAGTGAGCAAGTTGTGCGGACTCTGAGCGTCCTCAGTTGTTGTAATATCCGAAGATACCTCTTTCTCGACATAATCGCCCCCATTACCAGGGGATCTTCTCGCCGGTGTGGTGGTAAAACGACCCCGTATCCTCGGCTTTCAACCCATGCAGAACCTTCAACATATCCCCAATGCTCTGACTCGCCTCAAGCACCGCCCCATCTCCGCCCATCCGCGTCTTCACCCACCCGGGATCCATGCAGATGACCACGGACCCAGGCAAGTGCGGCTTCAGATCCTCGCTCTGGTGCACCGTGAGCATGTTCAGGCCGGCCTTGGAGATGGAGTACGGGGCGCATTTCCGCGGCTTGATCTCGGAGCTGCGCTGCAGGCTGCCCAGGCCCGATGTCATATTAAGAATGCGGACGTCTTTGGACAGCAGGCCCGCGTCGAGGAGCAGCTCTACCATCTTGGCCGGGCCGATGACGTTGACGGCGATGTTTTGCTGCAGCTCGTCCGGGCCGAGCGAGAGGGAACTCTGCGACGAGGCGACGTTCACGCCCGCGCTGTTCAGCAGAAAGTCGATCTTCTTTTCATCGCCGAGGGTTTGCTTGACTTCCTTGACGAAGGCGTGGATCGAGGCGACGTTGCTGGTGTCGCACTCGAGAATGTGCGTCGAGGGAGATGCAACGGCTTTGAGGTCGCTGAGGTCGGACGAGAGGGACCGCGTGGCGGCGATGATGGTGTTGTCTGGAGACTGGGCGAGCTGGCGGACAAACTCGAGCCCGAGGCCCCGGTTCGTGCCTGTGATGCAGTAGACGGGCATTCTGAAGTATATTGGTCTTCAAGCGCTACAAGCACACAAGCGCTGTAATAAATGGGATGGTCCGTCGGGAGACGTTGGCTGTGTTGTAACCTGAAGGGGGGAAGCTCAAGATGAAGAGAGTTTAAACCTGCGTTTCCCCGCGCGCAGAAGATTAAAGAAGCTTCGGAACAGGGAAGCATTTAGCATGAATTGATCGGTTGAAGACAAATACCTCGCATTACTCCATTCAGCTAATGCTTGACGTCGTCAACTCCACTGTCCTGCAACTAGTCAACCAGCTAGAGTCTGCCGACGATGAAGGGTTAGGGTTACTGAGCCTCGTCGGCTCATACCTTACGCCAGGATCAAGCTGAAGCTCGCCCTAGCCTTCTTGGGCACGCCGTTCAGCTGTCTTTGGTTTCCCGATGACACACCGGGCTGAGCAGCACAGCCTTCAAGCCACATTCCCCCAACTCTATTTGAGGTTTCCTTTTCAATAGGAACACAAGGTTTCGATATCTTCAAGAAACAAACCGAAAACTACCGGGAACGAACACACAAAGTCACCTGCGGAAAATGAACACCATGTGGAGGAAAAAGTACTACGAGCACCCGCGTCGGCTGGCACTCGCTGCCATCGCCAAGGAGACAGAGACGATGACCCCAACCATTTCATCGGCACTTCCGCATTTGAACACAACACAATCTGAGAAAATGGACCTTGGGACCCTGCCACCCCTGGACGCTGCAAGATGCCCACGCTTCAAAGCCACCACCCAAACGCGCGTCTTCAACCAAGACACCTTCGACGCCGCCATCGCCATGCCCTCGTCCGTGCTCAACATCCCATCGGATCCGGACAAAGCCACCTCAACCGTCGAAAAGGACAAGGAAATTCTCGCCCGCCTCCAGTCCGCCGCCGCATCCCCAGAGAACCTCAACCCGTCCACGGCACCCCGCATCGCCGTGCTAAACATGGCGTCCGAGCGCAATCCAGGCGGCGGCTGGCTCAAGGGCGCGTCCGCGCAGGAAGAGGCCCTGTGCTTCCGCAGCACGCTGGCCGCGTCTCTGCACCGGACCCTGTACCCCATCCCGCGCAGGACGGGGCTGTACTCGCGCGACGTGGCAATCTTTCGCGGGTCTGTAAGCGACGGGCACAAGCTGATGGTTCCTGAGATGGATCCGGCGTCCCTTCCCGTTGTGAGCGCGCTGAGTGTGGCGGGAATACGGCGGCCGGAGGTGAAGGCTGAGGGGGAGGTGGCGGTTGAGGCGGCTGAGGGGGAGGGAGCTGGCAAGACTGAGGATCCGAAGCAAGAGGCAGCTGCAGGCGCCGACTCGGATAACGGAGTGCCCGAGAAGCAACGGAAGCATGGCAGGCCGAAGGGCAAGGACAGGACGGAAGCTCCCAAGGGACCCTCCGTATTTGCCGACCCTGCTGATCGGGAACTCACTAAAGACAAGATGCGGTTGTGCCTGCGCATGGCCGGGACCAAGGGCCACACCATGCTCGTCCTCGGGGCGATCGGTTGCGGTGCATTCCAGAACCCGCCGCAGGAAGTTGCCAAGTGCTGGCAGGAGGTGCTGAGCGAGACCGAGTTTGCGGGCGGCTGGTTCAAGGAGATCTGGTTCGCTGTCTATGACCGCAGGAACGAGGGCAACTATGAAATCTTCAAGGAGGCGTTTGACGGGAAGGTTATTGGCGAGGTGCAGCTTTCCTCCACCTCAGCGGAGAGCTAGGGGTCGTTATGAGAGCCTGCTCACCACGGTGAGAGCTGCCAAGGCGGGCTTCGGATTCGTGTTCTTAGCCTTCTCTTTCGGAATGCCAACTCGGAGAACCTCCATCAGGGGAAGGTACTCTTTCCGCTCGACGGCGTCCACCCACTGCTCAATGCGCCGAAGGTAGAAGCCGGAGCCGCATCGTGATACCGCGCCGAGGAAGTCCACCTTCAACGCGCTTTCCTCGACCTCCACGTCCCACTCCGGCCGGAGCTGCTGCATGCGTGCCGCGTACACCTTGCGAAGCTGCGTCTGCTCGTATTCCATCAGGTGGATCCAGTAGAGCTCGGTCTTGCCCTCGTTGTCGAGGCTGTCGTCGAAGTCGTCGCTGCCGGAGGCATCGCGGCCCTTGTCGACGTCCGTGTAGCGGTCACGGTCCGGCTTTGTTTCCCTTACTGCACCTCGCAGAAACTCGGGTACTTGGGACGCCACCCATCGCGGCAATGCCGAGGCACATTCCCTGTGATCGGTTAGCCGTCTGTTCCGTGAGATGACAGTAGCACTTGCCATCCAATGACCCCCGTGATGGCCCCGTTGCCGTCGACCATGATATTCCGGAGCGAAAGATCGTCGTGCCAGACGACGGTGCGCTCCGGAGGGTGCACGATGGCCGGGAACACCTTGTGCAGGTTGCGCAGAAGTTTCCGAGCCACACGGAGGGCCGTCTCGGCGTACTCCCTGTCCTCGTCGTTCTCGGCCTCTGCCAAAGCCGTTGTGTGCTCCTTGAGAATGATGTTGAGCTGAGCACGCAGCCAGTCGTGGCTGGAACTGAACGGGCCACGAGGGATCGGGAAGTGATTGCGCTGCCCGGTGAAGAAGAAGCTCGACACGATAGGCCCAGGTTCGAGAATCCCTTTCTCAGGGCCGAGTCCAGTCCCCAATGTGCCGATGCCTCGGAATCCTTCACCAGAGTGGCCGCAGCGGAGCAGCTGGGCATGAAAGTCGGCCACGCGGGCCGTCAGAGTCTCCTTTTGTGCCATGGACATCTTCCGCCAGCGGTAGTAAACTGGCGTTCCCGGAATCAACTCCATCAACAGCCACTCGTAGCCAATCTCGTTAGCCCGGGACTCGTCAAAGGCCACAACATCTGGCACGGGAACATCGGTCCTGCGACGGACCAGCTGGAGTGTCGCCGCCTCGCCAAGCGTCTTGTTGCGAGGGTCGACGGGCAACGACACGCGCATCATGAAGTGACCGCGGGGAGAGCGGACGCGATAGAGTTTGTTGAAGGCGCCGTCGGCGTGGAAATGGACGTCCAGCTTGTCGTCGTTCGCGTCATGCGCGATGCCCAAATGGCGCCGACAAACACGTCGGACGGCCCAGATATGGGGATCCCGCGTCCATCTCGGCTCTGGGCCCAAACCGTTGTCGTCCCAGACCAAGCCCTCCCGGGCCGAGTCCCGCATGCTCAACAGAATGACGTGCTGGTTCCCTTCCAGGTTGTTGTCAGCGTTGGGCGGGCTCCATAAGCCGGAACCAGGGCGCGTTCAAGCGGGAGGCTGCATTGCGCCCTCTCCAACGTCCGAGGACCGAAACCGGTGGTGTTATAACAAGATGCAAATGTTGACGCCGTCGCCCGTGATGGGTGCCCTAATTTCAATTTGCCAGACACCGCGCCAACAAAGACGATTGGTTTTGAGCAAAAGCAACGCGAAGTGGGACCGAAGATTGTCAACATTGCTCTCATTGGCGCAGAGAAACACGGGAAGCCTCGGCGGATATTCAATTCCCTCACTCATCTCCGTGATATAGTGAGCTGCGTATGTCCTCTCCCGCCCATAGAAAAGCTGGAGGTCCATCACTTTCAGTCTCAAACACTGGTATAACAGCAGCACCAAGCATGAACGGGCGCTCCGTCCAATGTGATGAATAATATGCCCCTTCGAGATTTTTCGCCACCGATATATGTCGAGTTTCCTTCCGTCTAACTAATAGTCGAAAGTCCTGAAATGTTTACTTGAACCCAAGGTGTGGTATGACATTACCCAAACTTCGCTTCATATTCCCATTCCCACTGCGGTAGGCCTAATGAGTCACCCGGCTGCTTCGTTATGAGTTTATGACCACTAATATAGTGCCACCAAGACAGGCGAATAGGTTCAGGTGGATGCTGCAACGAGGCCCAATTAGCCCGATTAAGTGCGAATACAGAATTCGAGACTGAATCACGATACCGACTTAAGCTCCCTCGACCTACGGAAGGAAACGCGTTTGCTGCTTCGGAGCGTTACCGAGGAGCTCTTGGCCCAACGGGCCTCTCAAGGTCAAACCCATACAAATGTCGGGTATACGAGACGTAGCCTGCAAGCGAAGATTTGCCTCGGAAGGTACGCATATCCGGTTACGGGCCGTGATGGCATCCAACAGCCACATACACAGCAAGTATCCGCCGAATGCTGACATCACACGCATCAAAGTTGTACCCACCCCTGTTGCGTTTACATCGATACAACATCTGTTGGAACCCGAAGGGCGATGACCGCTGAGATATGCGCTGGAAGAAGCTATTCCCGTGTCAAAACCGTGGATTGAATTGAAAGGTGGTCAAAAAGTGCTTGATTTCTTTCATGCTGTTGATGGGCATGGGAGAAGACAAAGTAGGTAAGGAAGAGGGGGTGCGGTGCTGGTACCAATCAACCACCGTGGTCCGTTGAATGCAGCCATCAAGGCGGCTTCGTTCCGACAACATCCTCTGCGGCGCAGCAGGCTTCCCCGCACTCAACATGGACTCGGGAGGAACATGACAACGCCATTCCAAGTTCCGGTTGAATGAGGCACCCCTAATTACCCACCTTGATTCACCAGAAACTGCCCTTTCACTGAAAAGGCTCTTCAAGACTGCTCAAGTTTGTCCCAGCAAGATGGATCGCCAGCTCCGCGCGAACGATGCTTCTCAGGCCTCCAACGAGACAGCCAGCGCCTTCTTCCACCACTCGTCTGCCAAACGCGTCAACACGGACGCGACAATTGCCAAGGCACTGCGGGCAGAATACCCCGACCTCCAACTGGTGGTCGTTCCATCCCTCGGCATCGACCTCCTCGGCTACGCATCCGCCGGACACGCCAGCTTTACCTTAATCGACCAGGGCAGCCACGAAGAGGCACCATCCTCGCTGACATGGAAGGTCTACCGGCCACCCGGCCGACGCATCGACCACAACCCCGGCAGCCTGGTGCACGAGATTCTGTTCGCCAAGTTCCTGTACAAGTGGCAGTCCGCCGAGTTCATCCTCTACCTGGTCGACGGGCGCGACGGAACGGGCTTCTACCCGGCGGCGCGCAACCACTACCTCCTAACGACTGACACCGCCAAGGCAGACTCCCTCATCCTCGCGGCAGGGCAATGGGGCAGCGAGCTGCACGAGGAGGTGTGGGTGTGGGACAGCGGCATGTGGCGCAAGAGCGCCGAGCTGTACCAAAGCATCCAGAAATCCTCGTGGGACGCCGTCATTTTAGACGAGCGCATGAAAAAGGCCATCATCGCCGACCACCAGTCATTCTTCGACTCGCGCGACACCTACGCCCGCCTAAAGGTCCCCTGGAAGCGGGGCCTCATCTATCACGGCCCGCCAGGCAACGGCAAGACCATCTCCATCAAGGCCATGATGCACACGCTGTATGACAGGAAAGACCCGGTGCCGACGCTTTACGTCCGCAGCTTTTCTTCGGTACGTTCTAGTACCGATCGAGGACTCGGATGATTGATAGGAGAACTGACAGGACCAGTTTGCCGGCCCCGAATACGGCATCAGCCAAATCTTCCTCAAGGCCAGGCAGTTCGCGCCCTGCTACCTGATTTTCGAGGACCTCGACTCGCTCGTCACAGACTCGGTGAGGAGTTATTTCCTCAACGAGATCGACGGGCTGCAGAGCAACGACGGCATCTTCATTGTCGGCAGCACAAACCACCTGGAGCGCTTGGACCCGGGTATCGCGGTGAGTCCCCCCTAGACCTCGTCTCGAAGGCCGAGCCGAGACGGACTGACATGGCTGCAGAAACGACCCTCGCGATTCGACAGAAAATACTACTTCCCCGATCCCGACATGGAGCAGCGCATCGCATATTGCCGGTTCTGGCAGCGCAAGTTGGCCGACAACAAGGACATTGAGTTCCCCGACAAGCTCTGCCCGGCCATTGCTGGGATCACGGACGGCTTCAGCTTCGCGTACATCCAGGAGGCCTTTGTGGCGGCACTAATCGTCATTGCTCGCGATTCAAATGGCCTAGTAGCGCTGTCGCCGACACATCATGACGGGCTCGAGGATGGTTGGGTGGGAATCCCCAAATTTGAGGATGACGATGACTTGGATGGACTGGTCTTGTGGGTCGAGATCAAGAAGCAGGTGGCGATCCTGAGGGAGGGGATGGAGGAGGAGCGAGCGCGGGCACAAGTCAGGAACGAGCTTTCTTTCATTTGACTGATAAAGTCCACGACTTGGCTGGCCTGACGGCCGGCTGCGAATAGCCACATTGCTGGAATTGTAGATTAGCTACCGCTCCCTCATCTACTCACACCTCGAATGTCCTGACACTGCTGCTATTCGACGTCCGTCGTCTGCGGACCGTCGCGACAGGCCCGCGAATGTTTTTGGGCGAGTCCACGGCAAGCTCGCGCTCCGCCATGACTACGTCATGCAACGCATCCATCTTCTCGAGCGCGTCAATGACCTCGGGCGGCGGCTCGGACGCAAACACGACCTGGATGTCTCCATGCGGCGACAGGCCGGGGAAGTAGCGCCATGACCTCAGTCTGGACGATTTGGACCGTCGAGCCCACACACGTCGTCTCTCCCACAGGCCGATGATAAGGAGCAGCGGGGCGTTGATGACGCGAATAACGGCGACGTTGATGTGGTGAAAGACAAGAGGGCCAACGATGAATTTGAGCGGCAAGAGAAACACCAGCGCGGCGATGTTAAAGGGCGGCGGATACGAGAAGATGGCGTCGCTCTTGACGCCCTGGAAGGTGAGCACGGCGCGGCGGAACTGGATCTCGGCTGCCTCGTTGGCAATGATCTTGGAGAAGGTGTTGGTCAGAATAGCCACCAGGATGGTCAGGAACAATGTGTTGCCGAGGAAGGCAAACGTGATGATGAGGGTCGGCCCCAAGATCAGGTGGAAGTCAGCGGCGCGTTCGATGCCGGTGCCGTCGAGGCCGAACCAGATCCTGTCCAGGTGTCAGTCCAACCGTGCCGATCAAATTATGCGCTTACACCTACCACAACAGCCACTTGGTGATGGTGGCCCAGGTAACGCCCACATTCACTGAACCGTCGCCGCTTGTTCTGGCGAGGAACAGCAACCCCACGACGAAGCCGGCAAAGCACCAGACGGCGATGAAGGTCAGCCGGGTAAAATCACGCATCATTGCATGGAGCGCGATGAAGACGATGTTGTCAGGCATGAGGGCAAACGCAAGGCGCGTGAGCAGCACAGGCGCAGCCGTGCACAGAACAGGGAGCGCGTAGTAAGCGCCATCGGTGAGCAACAGCTCTACGGCCCGCACCAAACCATAGGCAGCGTATATGACGACGAAGGTGACGTCGAGGAACGACCAGAGGTTTTGGGCGTGCACCTCCCAGCCATGCTCCACAATGGCGGCAAACTGCTCGAGAACCCAGCCGGCGGCGAAGACATTGAAAACGGTCTCATAGATGCGGACGCCCGCCATGTCGGCACCGAACCCGTAGTGCGCCACCGTCAGCATGTAGAGGGCCAGGAGGAGTGCAAAGTGCAGCAACTCGATCACATTCCGTATTTGTGGGACAATGAGGCGGCGATGGTTGAGGATAGCAGCCCGGCGGGGCTCATAAAGCGAGACGGGATGATATTTGTAGTGGTCAGGGAGGAAGTCGACAAAAGACAAGGGCGTGTAAACCACAACACCCTTGTACACGGCGTCCACGACGAGCTGACAAGCCGGTGACTTGATCAGCATCTTGCTCTCCGAGATGATGGCGAGCTCGAGTGCCGTCAGCTTGCGCTCGTGGCCGCCCCGCTCTTGGATGGCCCATTGTGGGCGGCGAGATCGGACAGACTCGGGCGCCGTGTCGCAGGGGTCGAAGCCGGAAACCAGGATATTGGCGAGAAGAAGGAGCCCCGAGCGGCCGGGGTGGTCCTCGTGGAATCGACGGAGGATGCGGGTTGCGAGCAGTTCGCAGAGGATAGCACGCGACTCATGGAGTCCCTGGTGAACGGCCTCGTGGGAACGGGGACGGAGGAACTGGACGCGGTTGGCGACAAGACAGTAGACTGCATAGCCACAGAATGAGTGCGGTGATGTTGAAACGGGGAAACCTTGAGGTACTGACCGATGGCGGCATCTCGGGGGTTGTATAGCCGGTTGACAAGGGGTCGGACGACCTGGTGGTCTATATGCGGCGCTCGCAGCTCGTCGAGGGTGTAGGGATCGTCTGGTCGAGGATAGATCCTGGTCTCAGCTTGGGTAGCAGCACTCGGGCTCATAGATCATACCGATGGCTGCCATGACAAGCCGCCGAATCCTGCCTCTCATCAGCCCCAGGTTTGTGCAGTGTAATGTTGTTCGCAAGGGCCCAATACCGGTGCATCATGACATAAACCGACATGGCGGTGCCGTCCCCGGGTGACAGCGGCGGGCCGGGATCTTGGCCGCCTCGGGGAAGTCTCCGCATGCGGAAGCGGGACGCCACGTTGTCGTCGTCTTCGTCGTCGCCGGTAGGGTTCAACGCGGCCTCGGGATCGTCGTCGTCGTCGCAAGAAGAGCGGGAGCTTGTGTCGGCAAGATCCTCGCCCATATCGATGCTGTCGCTGCTACCTGAAATTGAGGATCATGGGTTGGGGTGCATAAGGCAGCAGCACTTCGTCCGGTCACCTTTCTGTTAGGTGTGAGCTGCGAATTCTTGCTGGACTGCAAGATGTGCATCGCTGCAATACAGCCTCAGTCCGGGGAGTTAATCGCCAGTGGATCTGTTCCGTATTCTCTAACGTAATGCGTCTGCCCTAACGGCTTGGCAACTCTGAGGCGAGCCGATCGGCCCCGAGAGTCATCGTGTCTGCGGTGGTGTGCCATAATCGGAGAAGTTGTTGCGGGGTGAAGATTTCGAGATGAACGATGGTTCCGGCAAATGAGGTGTTCTCAGCTTCAAGTTGGAGATTGGGACGCAGAAATGAGCAACAGACAGGCCTGATCTCCTGCGCCTGCCTAAATCGGCAACCGGATGGGGAAGATTAACCTAACCCCCTAATGTTCTGCAGCCGCCTCCACCACCTTCGCCAAGGACACGCTCGAGACAGGACGTCAACCAAAGGCAACAAAGGACGTGTTGGACGCATCGATCAACCAAAGACGAATTTCCGGAGGCTGGATGGGTCTGAGACCAAAACTTGCGTGTCGCGGCTATAGAAAATGCCATGCAGGAGATATATATTTGCACCCAGCTTTCTCCAAGGCTGCAAGCGGAGGTTTGCTCAGATTGCTGTCAAGGGATCAGGTTACAACCTTGATCCTCGAACATTCTGGAACATCTGACGTGGCATTGCAATCAATGGCTCATTAAGCGAGTGATCGGGCTCACCTCAAGGATGGCTGCTTGATCACAGCCATCTATTTCCACCAGACCCATTCTCCCAGAAGCCAACTCCATCGAGATCTCATTAAGACAACATAAGCCTGAAAGAAGCGATCAAAGCAAGCGGGTACGTTTGTCTGACCTTCTTGCACATGGCAGACCTAATCACACCCCCAGCGACTCTCCATGCCGACCATCAGCTCCAAGAAGACGTACACAGGGGGCTGCCACTGCGGCAACATCCGCTATCGCGCCGTCCTCGACATCAACTCGCCAAACGTCACCAAGTGCAACTGCTCCATTTGCCACAAGAACGGTTACGTCTTCAGCCCCCGGGTTTCTGGGTCGGAATTCGAACTGCTCTCGCCTTCGTCCATCGCCGACGCCACGGTCGGCGCGTATGAGTTCGGTTCGAAGATGCTCTGTCACCACTTCTGCAAGACCTGCGGCGTGTCGTGTTTCTTTCGGATGGGTGTCAAGGCCAGGGGCTGGGAGGAGTCGGAGCATGTCACCTTTGGTGTCAATATTCTGACACTGGACCCCGACCAAGGTCTGGATCTGAGAAACATCAAGCTCCGGTATTGGAATGGGAGGGATGAGGATTGGAGTGGGGCCAAGGATGAGCCGGGTCCGAATGGGATTTGGTGAGCGGGCAACTAAGCGCTGAAACGTTAAGACGAGCGTGCGGCGGGCAGTCAGCATGCTGGTCTTTGAGACCGGGCATCGGCGCTGTAAGATGAGGGCGAGACTTGAGGACCAGAATATTGGGGCAACAGAGCCATTCTGTTACGATGGCTTCAGAGCCCATTCCAGGCCTGTTTGGTACCGGGATTGCGTCCAGGTTGTTTTAAAGCCCGCCTTGTCCACCGAAGCACCCTACAGGTTTCCCCTACACAGTAGAAACCGCGTCTACCGGCACGAAAGCTCGACATACCGGCTGAACTGAGCCCGGGAAGTACAGGAAAGCGAAGCAAAAGTAAGACGGCTTCTCCAGAGGAGAGGACCCGACCTAAGGATTGCTGACAAGGGTGAGATTCGAACTCACGCCCCTTTCGAGACCACGGAAATTTGGGATTAAGGGTTTGACACCTTAACGTGGCGCCTTGGACCGCTCGGCCACCTTGCCGCGGGATGTTGGTGGGGATCGTACGTGGATAGGGCTTGTTGTGAGGGTTGCCGTGGACTTCGGGACGGGGCTGTTGGACCCCTGCCAAGGGTTGTGGGCGAGGAACCCTGTTTTTCTTCCGTCCGACCAGATCAAGGCGGATCGGGCCGTCTGACGCGAGCGCGTTGCGCCTCCAACCAAACCTCAACAAACCCTGAACAAACCGCTCGATTTCGCAGCCTCAAAGATGGCGACTTACACCAACAGCTGGAAGAACAAGGCGCTGCTGGGATGGTTCATGCTCCAACTGCCCATTATTCTCTGTACGTTCTCCGCGCCCAGCAAAACTCAAGGAAGTCTGAGCTGACAGCCTCCAGTCATGGACCTGCTCGACTACATCTGGCCGGCGTGGGTGTACCAGCCCGAGGGCGCGCCGCTGCACGCAGCCTACAAGGTCAAAGAATGGTACATCGGCAAGTACAACGACCCGATCGTGCAGTGGACGGCCGAGACGGCGTCGGGCCACGACAGCTGGATGGGCTTGTTTATGCACCTCGAGTTTCTCTTCCTGCTGCCGACTGTTGCATACGGCATCTACCGGCTGGGAGTGCAGCGCCGGGGCACATCGGGCGCAGACGAGCTGCTATTTCTCTTGTATGCGCTCGAGATGGCCTTGACCACGCTCATCTGCATCTACGATGTTTCGTACTGGGATGCGGCCGCGTATTCGACGGCGCTGAAGCGCGAGCTGCAAGTTCAGCTCTACGGGCCGTGGTGTGTTATCCGTAAGTGTCCGCCTGAGTGATTTCATTGGAATAAGATCTTGTATTCTGACCATCATCAGCGGCTCTTATTGGCCTCGACATGGCGACGCGGATTCTGCGCCGTATCAAGGCCGCCGATGCTGTCGGAGCGGTCAGAAAGTCGCTGTAGAGTCCGTCCACCTAGCCTGGGGTTGATCTGTGGCAAGTTGCCTGTCTGGACCGCTATGGCGGTTTGTGTAGAACGGGAGGGTTTCGGTTCCAGAGCGACTATTATTCTTTGTTGAAAGTGACCCCCAAACGCCGTGGTATCTTTCTTATTTTACAGCTCTCTTATCCCAAACCACAAACGACGCTAGACCATGTTCGCCGCTCATCTTGATTATGGCCCGCACCCCTAGTCGACCGCCCTCTTCTGATATCCCCAGCCATTGCCCACGCCGTTCAGACCATATCCCAGAGGCGTGGCGCCGCCGAGACCCCGCCCCCTGAGCCGCCTCGGCAGCACAGAGCCAAAGAAGTACACGGCCGACACGACGGCGCCGGCGCAGAACGAAACCAAGCTGTAGAAGACGGTGCTGGCGTAGACGTGCCCGCCCATGCCCGACCACTCGACCTTGCCCCCGACTTTGGGCAGGGCGGGCGTCGGGAACCAGCGCACGCTGAAGCTCAGCGGAAGCGGGTCACCAATGACGAGGCGGCGCGTGGCGCCCCCTTCCATGTGGGTGAGCGGGCTCGTGCTGTAGGCGGTGGCGCTGTCGAGGACGCCGCTGTCGCGCGGGTGGACGTGGTGCTTGGGCGTGCTGTGCAGCAGCACGTTCATGTGGGTGCTGATGTGCATGTGGCTCAGCTGCAGGGTGCCGGCCAGCGCAAAGACCAGGGGGATGTACTCTTGCTCGGGGGGGTTCTCGCCGACGACCTCGATGTGCGGGGGCGGGCGCGAGGGCAGGCGGCAGGAAAGCGGGGCGTCGCTGTGGATGTAAAACTCGAGCAGGTGGAAGAAAGGGTCGCTGACCATGGCGATGGTGCAGTTCTGTTCGCCCTCGATGCCGTAGTGGAACTCGAGAGGCTGGTTCGTCTCGTTGCAGATGGGGAAGGGGATCCATTGGATCTCGTGCGCTGCGTTTTCGATGTGCTCGCCCGTTTCTCTGAGGAGGATGGTCAGACCCAGCTGCGTCTGCAGTGCCTCTAGCGCAGTCGAGATGGAGGAAATTGACAGGCTTACGAGCTCCGATTCATGCATTCAACGCGGATTGGGGCACCGTAGTGGTACGACGGCAGCGAGTTCTCGTGGCCATCAGCGAGTGCTGACACGATCAGGAACGCCGCGATGAGGACGAGCAGCTGCAGAGGCAGCGATAGGGATGTCATCTCGGGCAATCTTTAGAGTATGCCAATGCGATAATGGCGGAAGGCTATGGCACGAGCCAGCGCATGTTGCGCCGGGTGGAAGTTGCGGAACGAAGGATGCAACGGTTGTGTTCGCGGATCGAGCTTGTCGCACCTTCAACAAACATGCAAAATGGCTGCTTGGATTCGATGGATTGGGAAATCCCTCCATCAAAGTTGGACTGCACCACCCCTAACCCTGGAGGGGATATCACCGTAGCGCCACCGTCGACCCTCGCTCTGCTCACTGCCCGCTGGCAGGTCCATAGGCGCAACTCAAAAATTTGAAAGACTGTTAACATTTAATTACCTGAACTATTCATCAACATAATGATTTGGGCATATTCTTAAAGGAAAATGATAAGCGCACCCAACGCAGCAGCAGTCCCCGACCTTGCCAAACTACTTCCAATGCATAAGCTCGCGCCGGCATTCTTGTCACCCCCGGTGCAAGGATTCTCAACCGAGCATGCGTTGGTCCGCTGTCCGGCGTCCGGAAGGGCGGCCTTGCCAGTGGCGTTGCCGCCGAGGTACCACGACCCGATGTCCGTCAGGTTGCCGTACGGGTCGAGCATGGCCATGTTGGGCCCGACGTTGGAGACGACGCTGCGGAACGCCCCGAACCAGCTGTACCGCGCCACCGCCTCGTTGCCCTCCAGAAACGCGAGGGACTGGTTGAAATATTCCTGCGTCGTCGACAGGTTTTGGTTGGTGTAGCCGTACTGGGTGACCCAGAGCGGCACGCCAGGGAATCTGTAAGGATGTGATGAGCCCCGGTCCAAAAACAGCAAGTCCTGAAGGAGACTCACGCAGACGAAAACTTGGCCACACGATCCTGGAGCACGCCAATGTGTCCGAACGAGTGGAGCGGCACAAAGTCGAACTCACACTCCTTGTCCTCGTTCAGGCTCGAGCAGTTCTTGAGGAACGGATCGATCCACCCGCCGCGCGGATCCCCGACCACGGGCAGACCGAGCTTGACGCCAAACTTGTCGCGCAGCGGAAGCAAGTTGCGCACCCACGCCCGCGCGGCGTCGGCCGGCTCCATCTGGCTGCCGCCGTTCTCGTACGACTGGTCCGGCAGGTTGAAGCCGAGCACGTGCGTGATGTTCCTCCCGCTGCCCCCCGAAGATGGCGCGATCATCTCGGTGACGTTGCCCAGAAAGTCCGTGTCGTTGACGCCCCCGCCCCACATCATGGGCACAAACTCGACCTGCGCCTGCGGGAGCGATGCATAGCTGTCCGACACGTTCCAGTAGAAGTTGTAGTACCACGAGATGGGCGAGTCCTCGCGCACAAAGATGGCGTCGTCCGCCGACCAGTCCCTGCTGCTGACTGCCACGAGACCGCGCTTGGGCGATTTGGCGGACAGGCCTGGGGTGGAGAGCAGGCCCACCAGGACCAAGAGGGAGGAGTGGCGCATGGTATTTTAAGTGTGGGATTGTGGGAAGGGAGGACGGCTGTACTGGGTACTTGGAATTGTAGTCTACCTGGCCATGTTGTTGGGCGGAACCCGTCACTTGAGCGATTGGGTTTGCTGTGGGAGATGAGGTGAGGATTCAAAGACCAAGGTACGGAGTAACAGAGGTTTTTTCAGCTGGGGGCGCTAACATTGACGACAACAACCCAGGTATCCGCTGACCTCGCTAAGGCGGGCTAGCGGTGCGCTAATGATCATTGCCAGATTTGGACATTCCATTCCAGGTTCCAAGTTCAACCTCTCAGCCCCTCATAGCCTCTGTTGACCACTTGCGCATTTACAGATTTCTTAGAGAGGCCTGAGTACAGCTCTACCAATACTCTCCTCAACAGTATATGCCCTCCAACCCGCTTTGGGCAAGTCAATGCTCTCATCCTCGGCAAGAAACTTCATAAAGACCCCGTGCGTAACGACTACCACAGCCTTCTCCTCAGAACTGCTCGCCTCCAGTTGCTTGGCAAGGCCAAGCAACTGCCTCCGAACCCGCTCCGCCCTTGCAGCAACCGCCTCATCGTCCGCAGCATAAGCTCCAGTCTTGGCGTGCCATCCCTCTCCGAGCAGACTGTAGTCCAATCCGGGGAATCTCGCCTCCAAAACAGAGACGTCAGAGCCGGTATCGCAGGGTAGGTCGCTCCGTTCCTGCAGGTCCGGATCGAGGATCAGTTTTGCCGAATTTGGGGAGTCCTCGCTAAAGAGAATGGTGCTGAATCCCGTGAGGGTGGTTTCGATCGTGCGCGTCAGGGGCGAGCTGAGAATGACCGAAATGGATGACAGGGCCGGGAAGGTACTGGCGAGTGCAGCAGCCTGAGCAAACCCCGCCTCGGTCAGACCAGGGTCGCGGTGGTTGAAGTCTTTCGAGACGTTGTGGGTCGATTCCGCATGGCGGAGGAGGTAGATCGGTGTTGACTTGGGGACCATTTCTATGCCGCCGATTCTTGGCTGTTGCGGTACTAGAGAGGAACCGTAGCTTGTGGGTTATGTGACTGCGGACCAGACGCCGAGACAAAAGACAGAGAGTTGCTCCTGAACTCTCACAAGCTCCTGGCTGGTTTCGTCTCTATTCTTGTAGCGTGATGTTAGGGGGTTCGCGCTCTGGTTCAAGGTATGTTTCTCCTTCCCAAACTTCAATTGCGCTTACAGGGCTCCTAGGTATCTCTTAATTCCCGTTTCGTGAGTTGCAGTGGGAAAAGGGACAGGTCGGAGTGTAGGAACTTCAGCGCCTTAAGACTACTGCGTCTCTTTAGCCAAGCTTTCTTGCGCTGTGCGTCCTCATATTCCGTACGTCTTTTGCAACCACAATTGCGCCATGCACTAGTTTCGCATTGTCCACTGTCAGCTTAGAATTCCCGCAACCCGGCCGCCACTGCATGATTACCTAAGGAACTTCTACACTAACGTTAGTTAACGTTACACCTAATTATTTGCCATTATTGAACCATATCCTTTCAACGCTCCAGTTACCATGCTATATTGGCGAGAGAAACAAGTCCTATCAAGGCCAGGCCTCTATCAGTGCGGCCGCTTCGAGAAGCACCAAACCCGCTGGTCGTCGTCGTGGTTGCGATCTGCGCTGGTCCCGTTGTCGACGCATCTGCGTCGCCAGTCCGCCCGGTTGTGGCGGTCGGCGTCATGATGTCGGTCTGGGTCTGGGGATGCGCCTCGAGATGGCAGTTGGCATGGGCGATGGCAATCTGGAGCCACTCGCGCTCGTGCGGAGCGATTCCTCTCCAGGCAACGGGACAGCTGGTCAAGCGAAGAGAGATGGTAGAGCTCTTAAGTCCAGAATGACACGGCCTCGGAGACGTAGGTTGAGTAGCTGGAAAGGATATCCGCCGGGGCGGCAGTGGTGAAGCCGCACCAGGATTTGGGGTCCGAGACGGTGCAGGAGACATACGCGGAGCCGGTTGCCGTGGCTTTGCATGGTTTGGCCACCTAACCCTCAACGTAATGCCCAGTGCTTGAAGATGCAATCTCAGCACAGTACCTGAGATGGAGTGCAGTTCCTGACATACCTACGAGCTCGATGTCCTTCCTACCTACCGGTCGAAATCAACAAAACCGAAGGGCGAGCCAGCCGCTTGGCGTGCAGTTGGTTCAAGATCGGAGACGCATGGTACTTGTGCCAGGCAGCGAGCTCGGTGACAGTGGAAAGCGCTTGTGGAAGCCATTCCAGTACAAACGCGAGAGAAGCAAACGCCCCTGTTTGTCGAGTCGTTTGGACTTTGGGGCTGACTGGATCTGGAGTCTCAGAATCTCAGCTGAACAAGCACGGCGCCCTCTTGACTCGTCGGCTGGACAGCATCGACAGAGTTAAGGGGGCGCGCATTTTGCACGCCCTTGAGCCCCTCGCGAAGTTTCCGACACTATTGATTTCCCTTCATCGCCACCAAAAGTGCGCACTATTAACCGCCGAGGGTCTAGTCAGAACATGAGCCGCTTAGAATGCCCGACCCCCAACCCGGAGGAAGTCAGCTACTCCCGCGAGGCCACCATTGTTGCCTCAACCGACTACTACACCTTCCTCACCCGGCTGTACATGAACGAGTCCCAAATCATCCACCCACACGCAGAGGGATGGTCCATCGTCAACGCCGACCCCGGCAAGCTGCAAGACCTGGGCAAATCGGACGAGGTCCTGTCAATGCTGGCCCATCTTCCCTACATCCGCTGCCCCGGCAACTGGCACCACGACGCAGATGCTATCCCTGGCTCGTCTTCCGCCGACTGGCCAGACCTTATTACATTGCGCGTTCAGGGCTGGATCATTGGGGAGGAACTGCCCGGCTGTACAGAGGGTACTTCGTTTGCCCATGTGTCGCCCCCGCATGCTGGTGAATGGCACACACGAGGACAGCCTTCATCGCACTCGACACGGAGCTCGGCATCACCCACTGGGAGAAATACACCTGTCCAGAGGACATAGGAGAGAATTGGATGCAAGTCGATTGGGAGGAACTGAAAAAGGATGTATCGGATGTGGATTGATTGGATGACCAGGTGTCTAAGGAAGACGCGAACTGGCGCTATAGTGCAGCAGCCTGGGCTATACCGGATTTCTTCGAGGTCCTCAAGGACGAGTTCAGGAGCTTGAACCGGGTTCCTATCAGCCCCTACACAGTGCATAGCAGCAAGGAAGAGCTTCACAACGAGGTCGGCATGATGTCCATGCTGAAGGATATCTACCGGCGACATGGCTGGCCCGATTTGGCAGCCTACCGCAAGTCGAAATGCACGGAGGCTATAAGGAAGGCCATGGTTGAGAGGTATCCTGAATCTGCTTGCAGCTGAGGGTAAGGCAATCAGGACGGGAAGCATCTGATACGTGGTTTTCAAGTTTGTCTCGCATGCCTCAACAAGAAGCATGCTGGCCACGTAGCCGACGGGAACTTAGGGTCTTTAACGTGTGAAGTGTAGAACGGGTCACGGTGCTGATGAAGTTTGCGAATGGAAGTGTGCTCAAATGTGCTCTCATACTTCCAGCCGTTGCGGAGACATGCGTGTCATACTACTAAGGTATGTACTGTCAAGCGACTTGTCTCGACGATTCGATACAAACCGACCCGAAAGGGGGGAATTACTGGCATCCAACACGGGTCGAGCTGACGGCGATGTCATCGTACCAAAAGGTATTCGAATCTCCACCGTACGACTCCCAACCAAAGTAAATAGCAGTCGGCCTGGGCTTGATACTGCTCCTCTGCCACTGGGCCGCGTTCGGGTTGCTCACTCCAGACTTGACAGTCAGCCCAGAAATGGTATTGCCGTTCAGCCAGGTCTCGATCGAGCCATCGGCGCCGACCTTGTACTCGAAGCAATGCCAGCTACCGGTGGGGAGGGCGGCCGAGGTGGCAATGCCTTGGGGCGAGAGGTCGGGAAGAGTGGCGTCGTCGGACTCGCGGTTGTACATGAGGATCTTGCTCTGGCCGCCAATGCGGAGGTGTTTCTTCGCCCCCTGAGCTGAATCGGGCATAGTGATGAAGGTGACGTGGGCGTCTGTGAAGGCCTTGGACGCTCTCCTGGATGAGCCACGACATTAGAGTTATCGCGTACTCGCGGAGATCAGTCCATCTTACACGTAGGCACGGACGTAGACATCACCGCTGGGAACCTTGGTAGTGCCAAAGAACATGTGGCCACAGTATCCGCCCGCACCATCGACCCTGATGGAGTTCTTGCCGCTGTGAGCGACAGAGCTGTCGAGGCTCACTTTGCCGCCCTGGCTGCAGTCAGGGGCGTATGTTGGCCATGCGGACTGGTCCCAGCCGCTTTCAAAGCCTTCGGAGACCTGGGCAAAGGAAAAGGGGACGAAGGCAAGGGCGAGAAGAGCGTTTTGGCGGAACATGGCTGCGGTACGTGCTGTTGAGGGCAGCTGAGAGATCAATACCGAGGAGGAGAATCTCCTCAGGAGATCGGGGGAGTAGACAGCAGAGCAGTTCTTACCCTCTGCCACGATTACGCAGGTGGCCGAATTTGTCTCCCTGGCTTTTGGTACCGTGGACACCTATTTAAACCTGCTCGCTTCCCCTAGGTTTCGTCCTGTTGTCCTTGCGAAATGCTTCCATTGTCCGCATCCCTGATTTCCACGCCATCTCATTGTTCATCCCTCAAGACTCGGGATGCTCCGCGTACCTCGATTCGGAAGTCCCGCGCATAGGGAAACGGGGCTCTCATTTAACAGCCGGGCGTGTCGGACCGGGTAGGATGCTGCAATTTATCCCAAGATGCCGCGTGCGGCACTTGTTCATGTCGATCACTTATATACCCCGCGATCCTGACAGGGAGTTATTCATCCCCGATCCATTCCTACGTCAAGCCAACGAGCTGCTGCTGTGGATTTTGATTCCGGGCAGCATAACCTGGGCTACCTTACTTCAGTCATAAGGATACTTATTGTATTGTAACACTGTCATTAATTCGTAATGACAAGCTGGATATGCCCATGCTGAGCCTGTTTGACCCAAATCTCCCGAAAACAAGCCAGCCCGCGCACTCTCATCGAAGAAAACCATGTCTCTGGCAAGATGTTCAATGCAGTATCATGGAAATCGCTCTTGCCGTATCCCCGCTTGCTCCAACCCAACGCCTCTGTTCTCCAAACTGCCATGATTCCGATTTCTTAAGCTGCAGACCAAGCGACTAAGCCAGTGTCTCGTAGCCGGCGCCCCGCTGGTACGCAGACCGATTCGAGAACAGGTAGTAGATGATCATGCCGATGACCGGGAACAGGAAGACGACCAGGCACCAGACGAGCTTCTGAACGGGTGGGCGGCTCGACTTGAGAACCTCGACTGGCCAAGGATGTCAGTATGCTTACGGGTGCGCGATCTGGGAGGGGAACGCACCGAACACGATGACGTCCAGGATGAGGACGACAAGCCCCAGCAGTCCGCCGCCGGTGCCGTACTGCCAGCTGTTGTCTAGCGCCTCGGTTGAGACGGGAGCGGCGAGGCCCAGAGGAGCCAGGCACAGCTGGAGGAGGATGGTCGAGATGAGCGTGTTGAGAGACATGATGTGAGACTTCTGTGATGATCCGTTGTTGCAAATGCGGATTGTCAGAGGTGTTTTGATGGAGTAAAGAATATGGCGGTTTTTGAGGAGGGGTTCTTGGGTGTTTGTTGGCATGCCTAGTGCATATGACGTCATTGCTGATGACGCACACAAACCGGTCACTGCGCATGGTAGAGCAGGACGATCCACCACGCAGTTTCAGGTTCGTCTTATGGGCACCTTTTCCAGTATTCGGTGCGAAGGTCCAGTACATAATAAGAACCTGGAAGTCACTAGCAAGATTAGACGACCTTGATTTCATCCAATACCACCTGTGCAAAACCGCATTCATAACTCGACTACGTGACTGAGAACATGCCTCGAGATGATTCGAGTCCTGATATTGAAGGACCTACTAGTACTCCCTTCCTAACATACCTCGCTGTTGCCATTCTCAGCCGGCAAGAATGGTGAAGCCTTGCCCTACATTGGCGATACGTCCGAAGCTGCCGCTCGACGAACTCCGTCTCGGTCCCAACAACCGAGTCTACATGCCGTCCAAACCGCTGCCATGAAGCCCAAATCCTGGGAATCCAGGTTCGAATCGATGAACCCCCGGTTGCCCCCCTTCCGGTCCACCTGCAACGCACGACACCCTTGAAGTCCAGATTCACGGTCGCAGCTACTTGTCGGCCTGCGCGGCCTGGGTGGTGTGAGGTCCCTGCGGCTCGGCCGCCTGGCGTCCTGTTGCATCGGCCTCGTGCACCCGGGTTGCTGGGACAGGAGTTGGCGACAAGTCGGCCGCCTGATGCATGGCGGGCTGCGGCGGGTACACTTGAGGGTACATGTGGGGGTAGTGGTGACCCTGGGGGTACATCTGCATCTGCATCTGCGGCGGGTATTGCTGGAACCCATACTGCGGATGCTGGTAGTATCCGGGCGGGGCGATGAAGACCACCTGCGGCTGGGGCTGGGGCTGCGGTTCTGACGGATGACCCCGCGCCACAGCAGACGCTGGTTCGGACCAGACTGGGTGGCGGAGAATGAAGGTAACCAGTCCCAGGCCGGTGGCTGCGACCCAGTAGTCCAGGATAGGGACGAGAATCTTCAGCGCCGAGGACTCCTCATAGGACCAGTCATCGGTGGCCGTTTTGATGTCAACCGCGGCGACAAAAACACAGCGGAAGAGCCAAAGGAAGGACGCGGAGAACAAAAGGGCCGACAGCTAAGAGCTTCAGTTAGTGGACGACGGATGCCTCGATATGCACATGTGCAGATGCTTGGGTTTCACCCACATTCCCAGACGCCAAGTCGGTTCGCTTCTTCAACTTGGGCGTGACATATATAGCCACGCCCAACACTCCTGCGGCGACGAAGCTCAGGGCGAGATCGACGATGGCAACCAGCCAGGTCAGAGCGAAGTCGTCGTATTCATGGCTCCGATAATTAGACGCGGTCCTTGCGAACCACGCGATGTCGAGGATGAACAGAATCGCAGCGCCGCAGAGGGCATCCAACCGCACCACCTTCCACCACTTCTCCTTTTTCAACGCTATGTATAGGACTGAGATAGTACAGAGGTAAACCGCCAGGGTAGTGAGGATGCCGGCCACGTATTCGAAGAATGCGGCGACGAGGAATGTGTAGGTTATGGTATCGAAAGCGGAAGGCAGCCGGGACACGGCGCTGGCGGCATGGATCGAGGACGCCACCACAGCAAGGGCGACGGCACTGCCAACAGGAGCTTGTCAGTCGACCGCACCACACCACACACATCGACTCATCTCAAAGCCTCAACCCACATGATCCAGAGGGGCAGCGCTATCTGTAGAAAGATGCGAGCCATCTTGGCGGCTTGCGTCTGCTGCCCCAGCGGCCGGCGCAGACTAAACGTCAAGAAGGTGACGAGCGGGATTAGCGTGAGGCCCATAAGACCGGCGCTGGCTCCCCAGGCCGCTGCCGTATTCAGCTCGCTCATGTCGTCGAGAGTGTTTGCGTCCGCCGAAGCCGTAGGAAAGAAAGTGCTGGGATGGGTTGAAACCAAGATTTGCCGGGCAGAACTTGAGGAGCCTCGCGGATTATCGTCGAACTACCCCAGCTCTCAGACCACGGCATGCCGCGCGCCAAGATGTCAGAACCACTGCAGCTGGCGCGGGGACTCGGGTGTGAACTCAGCCGCACCCAAGATCTCCCGCTCAGCATGTGAGCAGCCCGCTGCTTTTAACAACACAGTCTTGCCCGCTGCATATTCCTAGAAAGCCGTGGCTGATGAGCTAGCTCTTTTGGGGGTGTAGCACGTACCCTGACTGCTTCGCTGGACGGGATTGTATGAAACCCGCAGGGCCGCAGGCACAGCATTGTCTCTGAGGGCAGCAGTGCTACGGCGAGAATGTCAAGTACCTTGACAGTCTTGGATGGGTCTTGGCTAGCCAGCCAGTCTACGAGGTCTGCAAGAGCTGCATTCAGTCGTGCCTCCTCAAAGTCAAGACTCAAGATAGCTTAGGTGACATAAGCTCAAGGGCTCCGGGGCATATTCATCACCATGATTAACGATCACCAGTATCAGTGGCATTCGTTAACACCCTCGAGCGGAAACAATTATGCCAGCCCTTTATGATAGAGGACGTGAAAATGGATGCTGACTTGGAACAGACCCTCATCCCATTGAAGGGCCGTCCGCGAGGCAGTAAGCTGTTGATTCAATCCAATGTTGGTTTCCTTCGGCAAATGAGGCACATCACATCTTGACAAATGGGCTCAGCATAAAACTGTCTTGCAAGTTGCAACAATAGCATCGAGCTTCTTCCACACTCAATGCCCAAACGACCTCAACAACCACGGTTCACCCGCCTCATGTTCCCTGGGCTAGTAATGTCCTCCGAGAACACCGACCCGTTATGACAGGATGCCCGACTCAAAACGCCAAAAGGAACTCGGGATTGGGTTGGAGGGGACCTATACACCTTCGCGATCGAATCCTGTATGTTATTCATATCACGAAACTCGACCTCAGTGACTTCGAAGCTAACAGATTCCCAGCACAATCATCACCACAATTGTCGACCGCCACGGCGGCCTGCCCTTGGACACACCCCGTCTTTGAACTCAGGGACATTTCACAGAGAAATACGGCGAAGACTCCCGTCTCATCTACAACCTCGAGGACCAAGGCGGCGAGGCCTGCTCCTCGTGCTACGACCTGAGTTTCCCCTTTGCGCGCTGGCTCTCGATGCGCAGCGACGTGCAGCACATCCGGCGCTCCCAGGCCGCCAAAGTCTACCGCCGCGACCAGCCCGCCATTGCCCGCCGAGGTCAAGAGGGAGATGCTCGACAAAGGGATCTCGGACGAGGTGGCCGACCGCGTCGGTGGGCTTGTGTAGCAGAGCGGTGGCATGCGTGAGGTGCTCGACCGCATTGAATGGGGCGCCGAGTTGAGTGCAAACAAGAGGGTGGCCGAGGGCGTCGCCAGTGTGCAGCTGCTTGCATCCTACCTCGAGGCAATGGATGTACTCGGCAAAGTCTCGTTCGACCTCTCCCTCGCGAAAGGCTTGGTCTACTACACTGGCCTGATCTAAAAGGTAGTTCCAGTACCGGACCGGATCAGTCAGCAGCCCAACCAGGTGGGTAGCATCGTGCGGGCGGCCGTTACGACGGGTTGGTAGGCATGTACGGCCGGCGCTCGCTGCCATGCATTGGCTTGGACTTTGAAATAGATCGAATCTTCACCCCTGATCGATGCGCGGCGGCCGAAAAGGAGCGGTTCAGACCTGACGCGCGAGGCAGAGGTGTACATCTTGGCCTTTGGCGGCAAGAAGTTTGACGGCCTGCTGCTCGAGCGCATGCGCGTCGCCCGCGAGTTGTGGCACGTGGGCATACGGGCTGAGTTTCACCGCAAACGTCGAGCCAAATTTCGCACAGCAGTTTAATGCCTCCAAGGGCGTTCCAGTAGCTGTTATCTTGGAGGATGAGGAGCTGGCGGCCGGCCGGGTGCGGGTAAAGCAGCTGCATGGTGGGGACAGGGATGCCGCGGTGATAAAAAGGGGTTGCTCGTTGCTAGGGAAAAGCTCGCCGAAGAGGTGAGGATACCACTGGAGTCTTCCGCTGCAGAGAAAGAGTAAAACTGTCCTCGGGCCCTAGTCAACGGGGCTAACTATCCTTCCATCAGTACCAGGTATGTAGGCTCCAGGTACTCATGCCGGTTTATCTAAGTGGCCCGTGACTCTGAATCAACTTTGGTGCGTCAAGTGCTTCAGGCAAGCCATTGCAGATAGGAGCAGAGACAGCGTGGCTTCATTTCCTGGCTGGAGGCGAACCCATCTACACATGTGCAGCCATCGCTACAGTCCTGGCCGAGGTCGCTCCTTACCGTCGGCTGACGGTACGTGTACAAAGCTTTCAGTGGTTGATGGTAGCCGGCCGTTTAATCCAGCCATGAGCCAGCCCTGGGAACATGGATAAACGGCGGAATCAGGTTTACCTCCGTTTAACTCCTTGGTTGTATTCTCCGCGGCTTACCCCTAATTGCCCCTGACTGCCCCTGGCGGATGCATCCCGCCATCATTATCTTTACCCTAGATTTCTCGGCTGGCTCCCCAGAGTGGCCTGGTCTAGATAATCCGGAACAATAGACCCCGAGCTCAGGCTGGCCTTTCCTTTTGATGAATCATTGACCGGCGCAATATGTCCAGCGAGCAATTTTACTATTGGCATACAAGGCAACGTCATCTCGTTAGGTCCCGGCGACATCATACTCTCTGGGTAATCAGCCCGGTTGTTTGCCCCTTCTAGGTGCCAAATCCGGGCCGCCTCGCTGGGCCGTCTTGCCGGCCGGAAATACCGACCACGGTAGCTGTCTTTTGCACGACGTCGTTTATATAAACATGATTCAATCCTGCTAGCCAACCGGAAAAAGGGCATGCCCCAAGGATTGGGAAACGTTGGGAACGGAAACCGTGAATCTTAGCCTTGCTGCTATAACATACCTTAAGTCGTATGTTAATTAAGTTATCGGCCGCCGTGCTGGACCGGGGCTCCGTCGAGAAATACTAAAGGAGAACAACTCGCTTGCGGGTCTTCAACAGGTCCGTGGGTTGAGTGAATGAGTTCCTCAAGACAAGTCTCAACCATCATCATGAAATCAACATATCTTCTGACAGCTGTGGCATACAGCCTCCAGGTTCAGGCGAGACAAATACCGGCCGCCGGCGTTATTGCTCGTCAGTGGGGAGGAGGTGGCGGTTGGGGCGGCAGCGGAGGAGAGACCTGCGAGTGGACAGACCACTGCCTTGGTATGTTGTCTGGCACGGTTCTAGTCCGTCTTCCGAGTTTCGAATAGTGACTGACGAGGGCCCAGGCGACCCCTGTGAGACCGAGATTGACTGCGACGGCGATCTCATTTGCACCAGGGGAAGATGCGCGAATCCCAGGGGCAATCCAACAGTTGGAGGCCCTACCGTGATTAGGACCACGACCGTCTATGTCACTGCCTGGCCAACTGCCTCCTCCGCTCCAACCTGCGAGTGGACTGGACATTGCGCTGGTGCGTCCTTTAGCATCCTTGAACCGTAATGGGTTGTTCCGTGGGGTTAACTTTAACTATTTCCTAGGCGACCCATGCGAGACAGAGAACGAATGTGACGGCGACATGATCTGCCGCTCAGGCCGATGTGGCGCGCCTCCGACAACCATCATCACTAGCACTCGTCGCGTCGTCACCAGCACCCGCCGGGTGACCACTTCCACTCGCCGAGCGACCCCGCCTGTTGTCACCACGACTCATCGGGTAACCGTCCCCCCTGTTACCACTACTCGCTCGACCGTCCGGCCTCAGCCGACCACGACTCGCGGGCCGACAACGCCTTCGTGCGGTGACAATCCGCTGGCATGTATTGGTACGTACCGGAAGGCAGAATAGGGATTGTTGCACTTGATGGCAGTGCTGACCTTCTGTGTAGGTGTCAGCTGCGAGACGGATGCTGACTGTGGCTTTGCCTTGATCATATGCAAGGACGGCGTCTGTGGGCTTTGATACAGGCATGATAGTTTTGAGCGTCCGAGTCTTCTTAGATAACTGAGCGCTTGTTGCAGCTTCCTTAGGTCGCGGATCAAAAGTTCGATCTTGTTCGATGCTCGAGGCATTGTCACTTCATGTTCGACGCCCGGGAAAAGTTCAGTGCATCTTTCAGTATAATACCTAAGCTCAATGCTACGATGTAGGACTCTTCAACTGCACGTTTTGTGGACATCATCAGGTCAGTTGAGAAAACTCAAGTCGTTTCCAGATTTGTTGTTCAAAGAACGGAACTTGATAGCTGATTGTTTCGCCGACACAGAGACCTGCTGTGTTCTGTCAACTAATACAACGTCTTTGTCCTTGATCAATCCGATTGCTTTGGTCATGTTGCTCGTTTATATATAAGAAACCCACTGTAGCCACTGTCGCATGACCCATTGTCGCATCAGCAATCTTATCCCTTAGGCACATCTCATGAACCGCGGCTTTCCAGGGGGTCTCGAAACGCTTCGCCTCAACTCCCAAAACAGCTGTGCAACACCAGCCAACATGACACCTACACAACTCCCCACCTGGACCCATCCTGTAGCCGAGGCCGTCGACGACGCACCCCTCCCACCCCCAGCCGAAGTCAAGGACAGCATCCCGCCCTTCCACCTCCACGGCGAGCGCAACTGCGGCGACCACGTTCACGACCCCAACAGCCCGTCTTACTTCGTCCGCTACCTGGCTCTACACGGCAGGGACCTCTCCTCATCCTGGACCATGTCCTGCACCAACTGCCATGCCCGCACGACGCTCAACCGCCTGCACGACCTGCCCTGCGGCGACCTCATCTGCCGCGGCTGTCTACTCGTCAAAGTGCTGACGGTCAAACTCAGCATCGAGCGCAACCGCGACAAGCTCCACGACGTGCGCATGCAGCTGGTGGACAACCACAACGCCCTGTTCTACCCTCCCTCCGAGCAGCCGCTGAATGCGCGCGATAAGAGGATGCTCCTCCGCCGGGACGCCCAACTCAGACAGAGCATGGCCCGCCTGGCCGGGTTCACGTGCTGCGGTACGAACATGCAGCTGGGGCGGTTCCTGGCGTGCATGGGCGCTACTGCGTCGAGGGAGCTGTGGCTTGCGATGCGGTGGATGGCGGACGATCCAAAGGCGCATAGGGCGTGTGCCTGGCCCGACTGTGGTGCGTACTTGCCTGTGTGCTGCAGGTATGTGGTGCCGGGGGAGGCCGGTCGGCGATGGTACTGTGTTACGTGCCAGGGCAACTCGATGGATTGCGCTAGGACCTGGCCTGCGGCGCCGAATGTGTTTCCGTATCTGCCTAGGGGCCAGCCTGCTTTGACGCCGTGCAGGTAGGCGTTGTGTCGGATTCGTATCTGGGCTCTCGGGTTCTTGGATATTTGACTTTATTCAGCGACGTCGTCCAGGTCGGGGGCGACACTAGACAGACAACTGTGAATAGACAAAATCCGTGAATCTGCTCGGGTGCATATGCCGATGTTGAAATGTGACCGGATAATGTCTGGTGATGATGCTCAATTCCCGAGAGGCTGTATTCCCGTGTAAGCATGCTCATTCTTGTCTACACGTCTTTTTCCGGCTGCGCCCAATCCAGCTCCCGCTTGAGAAAGGCCTTGAGCGCCAGCTTGATCTCAGCCACCTTCCAGTTCCAGTTCTCCCTGTGCTTCGCGGCATCGGCGACCTTGTCAGGATGCAGAATCTCCCGAATCACGTTCCTCCTCGACTCGAGGTACGTCCCCAGCTGCAGCACGGCCGCCTTGCCCGGCGGCAGACCGCCGCCCCTGAATTCGGCCTCCTTGCGCACTGCCTCCCTCAGTTTGATGACATTGTCGTGCTCCCGGATGGTAAAGGTAATAATAAAGTCGAACCGCGAAAACATGTCCCTGGTCATGCCGCTCGAAAGATGGGCTGCGGTGCTCTCGCCGATGGTTTTCTTGAACGGGTAGTCGCACCACTTGTTGTCGAAGAGCGCCGCCAGCGCTACCGGGTTCGGCGTCTTGCCGCCGGACCACCACGGTAGCCTGTACGACTTGTAGCTGTAGTTCAGACAGCTCGTCATGTCGATGCAGTCGTTCTTGTCCCAGATGAAGAACCCGGCGGACCGGACCTCGTCGACGCGCCACTCGCCCCTGGCTTGTAGCGTGAGCTGGCCGAGGAGCTTGACGAGCGCTTCGGCCACCACGCTCCGGGCCTCGTTGTACGGGTCGACAAACAGGATCTTGTAGTCTCGTCGCCGACCGGTTGGAGCGGGTATCCTGGCTACCGTGGTGGTGGCCGTCTGCGCCGACGCCGAAACCTTTTCGGCCACGATGAGCTGAATGTACGAGTTCAGAAGTTTGATTTGTTCGTCTATGTCCTTGATGATGGTCTCGGCCTTCTCGGCGCTGTTGTCGATGAGCGAGAACCACAGCCGAGCCGCCCAGGCGGACCGAAGCTCCAGGCGGTTGGACCGCGACACGATGCCGTTCTTGTAGCGGTAGAACAGCTCGTACACCTTTTCGGCGTCCGTCTTGATCCCTGCCAGGAGTTTGCCGAGCCCTTCCCTGACCCCGGACAACGCATCCCTCTTCGTCTTCCCCGACACTTCCCGCTCGAGATATTTCCGCACCTCCCCGAGGTACGCGTTCAGAGTATCCATCCGCTGTCTCAGCTGAGTCATCTGCTGTGGCAGGTCCGCGATGCTGTCGTAGATAGCAGTGGCCGTTTCGACCACCTCGATCACCGAGAGGATGGTGCCTAGGATGTCGGCCATGGTTTGCTAGTACTCGACCAAGTCCACAAATGTTGTCGTTGAATAAACCAGAAATTGGAACTCAAATGAGAGGGCCCCGGCTGGGTGATAAACCTGCCCTGTGAGGATCACTCAAGTGGGCCATGGTGACACTGGGAGTCGAGATTCCACCGCACAGCCCCCACACAGCCTTCACAATTGCATCTCAGGCCACATGGCATTGGCTCGCTCGGATTGGAGCCTCACCGTCAGCAGAAACACCAGCCACGATGGTTGAAGGGTGAGGTTGAGTACGGAACCACTCAAATGCAACTGCTAACTCCTGATGTACACCTCTTGGGCAGCTAGATGACTTCCTGATATCATCGGCAGACAGCCCACGGCATCCAACATGCCCATTCCGCCTTTTGTTTACCTCTACCGGACATACCGACATTTTGACCGACCGTCTATTGCCGTCAAGTCACCCACCACCAGAAAACTAAAAGCGGAAAAGAAAAAGAAGGCAAACCAGAGGTCGTAACCGTACTGGAATGATCATCGCGTCATGAATCTCAGATAACAAGTTGAACTGGAAAGGACATTCGTCGAATTCTGTGAAACTTTTCGCGAAACTAAAAGAGAACTCTGGACTGGTGTTGACGCTGACTAGTAAGGAAACAGAGACAAAAAAGCCTTGACCATAGGTCCAAGATTGTCGTGATACATGACGAGGCCAGGGATGGCTGGGGTGTCGCCAGGGTCTGTCTTTTGAAGACTGCGGCACCATATCTCCATGCCATGCCGTCCTCCAACGTATTTTTCCAGCCCGGTTGCCGACTCCTCTCAACGAGCCCGTCAAATGTGCAGGGCCTCTACGTCCGAGATGCTCCGATGGCGCTTGTGCAAGTTGGCGTCGGCGAGGTGACTCGACGCTTTCCTCTTCTGTGATGCGACGTTGAGTGGGCTGCTCTGCTGGAGGTCGGGAAATCCAAGCGCTCCTACCGTGTTGCTTCTCTTCTGCCTACGGATGGGCGTGATCGGTGTGGTGACGGTCTCCAAACTTCCCGACTTAATGCCGCGGAGAGTGCCGTGGTAGAGGGGGCCCGAGAAGGCGAGTGACTCTTGGCTTGCTTTGTCGCTGTAGATGAGCTGCTGGTTGATCTGATTGCGCCGGAATGCTCCCACAATATTTGAATTGTTCTCGAAATGGGTGAGTAGCGGGTGGGTCGCAGCAGATTCGGTTGCCGCACTCGCGCTGCTAGCAGCAATCTTCGGCCGGGTCGGGCTGGAGACGAGATCTCCATTCCAATCAGCGCCGGAATCTTCCTCGTCGGACGACTCGTCGTTGAATGTGACAAAATCCTCGATCCTGAGCAGGCTTTCGTCCTCGTCCTCGTCTTCGCCGGCAAAGAACGAGTCATCGGACTCCTCTTCCACCGTGAATGCGTCGGGGGTGCACGGAAAGAATGCCTCGGCCGGGCCAAAAGGCTGCATGTTGATAAAATCCCCAAAGGTGTTGGATGACACCATGGCACCCATCATGACAAAGCCCGGGTTCCTCACGAGTGGCGAGCAGGCCAGATCCTGACCCGAGAAGTCCAGTTGCAGAGACTCTGGTGAGAGGTCCAGCTGGTTGGTCCTGCGGGGTGTGAAGATGATCATCTTGCCAGAAGCAGGATCGACGACGCCAATGGGCTTGTTGTCGGATCGGTCCAGGTTAAACCTACCCAGGCGAGGCTTGCCGGGTGCATACCGGACCGGCCGCTCAGTGTCGGAGCCCGACGACGCCTCGACAGAACGGGCCCGATGCGCGTGCTTTTTGCGGATAATGGGCTCCGGAATGTCGTCCTCGGTAGTATCACCGTCGGCTGACGGGAGCAAATTAGCAGCAAGACCTCCTGAATGACCAAGCAAACTCACTCTCGTATCCGTCCAGTTCCTGCACCTCTGCAGAAATGGGGACAGGCGTTGACACTTCAGTGGGCGGCTGGCTTGGCCGCGGCGTGGCGTGGAGATCTTGTGCAGCGCCTTCATCGTTCGATTCCTGGCCGGCGAAATCCTGAGAGCCGCTCTGGAAGTCCCAAAACGAACTGTTTGAGGATGTCTCATCGGGGTCATTCTCGATTTCGCGGCGAAACGAGGGGTCGAGGGCGCTTTGCTCGACGAAGATGTCGGGAAAGAACTCGTTGATGTCGGAGGTCTCACTGGTGGTTGAGTCCGAGTCGCTATCGGGAACCCCGGCGAAGCGAACATGGCGCTCAATGGTGGTAGCAGCCTCATCAAGCATGTCGCTGGCTAAGGTCTCTGCGGGGACGAGCTCCTCGTGGTCTGACGAGATTCCGTCCCAGCTGTCGCCGTCGTCGGCGGGGTCAACGTCTTCTGCCTCTGCCTCGTCTTCTTCATCTGCTTCGCTTTCCTCGTCTGCATCGTCCTCGTCATCCTCCACGGGCGGCCGAGGGGGAGCCGATGATCGCTTCCGCGATGCATTGATTATGTGCTCCTCCTCGGCCGCAAAGACATGCTCCTCGTCGTCATCTTCGGAATCTGTGACATCCTCGACGCCCGAGTAACCGCTGTCATCGGACAGATCGAGAGACGAAGAATCGTAGTCTTGGCGCTTTGAGGCCCGTTTCGGGGCGGGAGCCCGTTTCGCGGCGGGCGTGTATTTCAGGCGAATGATCCGAGACATGACTGCAGATATGCAATGTACGTATCTCCAATCTATGCAAGGGGGTGTATGAGATGCAGGGCAGGAACGTTCGGCGCACGGTATTCTGGAAGAAAGCGGCGGTGACCCCCGCAAAGGACCGAGCGGAGGAGGTCTGATCCTCTTACTCGAGGGTTGGATATTTGCTGCTCGTCTAAAGAGCAAGCTTCTAGGAATGTCAAGGAGGGCAGAGCGTTCGTGGGGAGAAGACAGGACCGAGGCGGTCGGCGAGGGGGTTGCTCGAGTCCGTTATGGTTGAAGTCGCTTTGGGCCGAGAGAGGTGGGCCGGGGATAGAACCTGTGGATTTCAGCTCGAAGGCAGACTCTCCTTGTCGCGGAGACTCGAGACGGTGATAGTCTGCGCAAAAACTTCGTCGATGAGGTGGCAGAGTTGGTATTCTCGTTGAGGCTGCTGGACTGCAGGCGTGCCGGGGTCAATTGGCACGCCCACAGTGGGCGCTTAGAGCTCAACGACGGCCGACGGCATCTTGAAAATATCGACGAAGTTTGGTTAGGTACGGTACTGAAGACTGGGTGAGGTAGTGCGACTTCGTTGTCTGGAGGTTGGGTTTGGGTTGGATTGGAGGAGGGAAAGAGAGGCCCGAAGGAGGGGAGAGGAGCCGTCTGATGATTTTGACCTTTTTTTCGCTGAGGAGGAATCGACCCCGGTGGCTCCACAATGTGAGTTGAATTGGTGGGGCAAGCGCAACTGGGTCCCTGCATTCACGGCGCAATCCCTTCTGGCAACTGGTCGCTGGTGCATCGATCCATCTCTCCTGCGTCACAGCGGGAGGAAATTCCGGACTCGAAAGCCCCGTCATGTCTCGTCACCGCTCTTTCTCGCAGCAGCCGGAGGAGTGGTCTCGTGGTTGCTTCCTCATGTAGGTACCGGCCCTCTGCATGGACAGGAAACATCACCAGCTCGTGGACTAGCCATCACTTGGTTTCTCTGAGAGGTGGAACTTCTTGATTCCTTTTACCAAACTGTTGGCTAATGTCTGTAAGATAAACATCATCGAACAGTGCACTGTCCTCAGCGATCGAGAAAGATAAGTACAGAATTGCTACCCTCGAGCCGCTACTGGTTTCAGGGCGGGGCCGCCCATCCATTGCCCCGCACTCTCGCAGCTCGCTTGCAAGGCCGCATAGTGGCAGACAGGCAAATCAGGACGAGGTGAAGTGCAGATGACGGAGTACGTGTTGATCTTGACTGGAATGACAAGCTGAGCCGCTTGGTACTGTCTCCACAACTCCTCCCCTACCATTTCGGCCTTTCCAGCGATGAACGGAGCATGGTCGACGTGGACGAACTGTCAATATCTTAAAAGGCACAAGTCGCTGCTCCACAATCTCCCCGTTCCGACCACTCCAGCTGCCAACTGCCGTCTCGAGCAGAGCGCAGGGGGGACTCTCCTTGTGTACCTCTGGAATCGGGACTCTTTTCTTTTGGAAGGATACAGTGAACAACCCCTTACCCGGGCACTGTTTTGCGGGCAAAGGCGGCTCGGGCTGAGCTGTGGAGGACTGTGTCCTCAAGAGTGTTCAACGCCATCGGCATTGAGTCAGATATCGATGGTGACTCCTCTGCCTCGATTCTCAAGCCGACGGTGGTAATGTGGCCCTCTTGATTGGCCAGGGGGAGCAGAGTCGATCTGTCTTCGATGCTGAATCCTTGGCCTGAGAACCCGAGGGAGGGCGTGGCCACAGCGAAAGAATCCTTTGAGGCTCTGCAGAAGTACACTAGGTACAGTTGTTCCCGGAGTCCAGGCTACTAACGTTAGTAGAACCTGGAAGTTCTGCAAGAGCCTCGTTTTTCAGGCGGGGACCGTGCGAATTCAAGGTCATGGGACAGTGGAAGAAGAATGAAGCGCCGCGGGCGTCTTACGAACTCTCTACCCCGACAACAACATATCCGGAGTTTGTATGGGCGTTGAAACTACCATGAGGAACAGTTGAGCCGGTTTCACTCTTGGAAGACTTCGCTGCGGGTTGGGATGTATTTAACTACCGCAGAATTGAACATATACGGATTAATTTGGAAACAGCTCTGGCCGACTTGGCATTTTCGCAGCTCAGCGGTTGCCAATGCCAAGCAATTTTCTTGAAGATCTTATCTTATCGGAACGCCCCGAGAATGGACCCTTAACTCATGCGTTGCTGGGGAAACCATAACTCTAGTCCAGATTTGGCATAAACAATTTGTCGGGTCCAGGCCATGACTTCCAATCACTGCAACTCAAACCCTTGACCGGACCAAGCCACTTGATACAACTTTTTCCTTCCTCAGGCCACTCGAGTTGTGGTTTCTCAACAACTCAACCCTCCTCGACTTGCCTCTCTTTCACTTTTCTCGGCGCCTCGCAAAACCACAAGCTGGTGCCATGGAGAAGCCCTCGACCATGTCAGCGTCGACTCAAAAAGTTACCAACCTTTTCCAAGTGTATCTTCGACTTCGACCGCCACAAAGTGGAGCTTGTGCCGCTGGAGGGCGCTTCTTGGCGGTTGAGCAACCAGAAGACGACAGCACCACGCCCAAGCACATCACGCTGAACCCTCCCAACGATCGACGGCGCGCCATCGAGAAGTTTGCCTTCACGCAGGTCTTCGAGGAGGATGCGACCCAGCTGGATATCTTCCACTGCACAGGTGTGGCCAACCTCGTCAAGGGAGTGCTAGCCCCATGCGGCGGAGATGGGACCGATGCCTTACTGGCAACGCTGGGCGTGACAGGTTCGGGCAAGGTCGGTCGAGGCGCTCTCGGTCTCTGCATGTATCAGATTCGGTTGAGTTGCTGACTTTTAACATCTAGACCCACACCATCCTCGGATCAAAGTCACAGCGCGGCATGACCCAGCTCGCTCTCGATGTCGTCTTCCGCTCGATCGGCCAAAATCTCCTCAGCTGCGACTCCCATCCGAACCTCGAAAACTCTATCATTGCATCCGACTGCTCCGAAGCGGCTATCTACTTGGCCCCGGCATATATAGACAGCGTGTATGCCGATGCGCCAGCAGCCTTACGCGCTAGTTCAAGAGCACCCACACCCCTGAATGTAGGACTTTCTCAGTCTTCTCCCCAGCCACTTTCCCAGCCACAGCTCGGTCAACAAGAACAGAGCGACCCCAGTGGGTCGGAGCTGGCTCCGAGGCAGAGGAGCGTGCGCATAGTCAGCCGGGAAGACTCTGTAGCCCCACCAACACCGCCTTGCACCCCTGGGTTGGAGAGCAAGGGCCAGGGACATGAGAGGACAGGCCGTGATCGTGGAACTGCTTTTGCGTGTAGTAGTGCCCGCACATGCTTCGAAACTCGCCATCCCCAGTGCCAGCAAGTGCGAAAGACCAGTGCTCAACGACAGCAAGGGCCCAAGAATTTTATGGCCCCGACAACCTCCATCCGCTTGAAGACAAATACTAAGACAGAATTGCACTCTCAGGGCGAATCTATCGGGCCAGGACAGACTCCATCGCGCCGACTCCATCGACCGTCGACCTTTCCGCAGCAGCCCGATGTCAGCGCCCTCTCCGTGTCGTGCGATCCTTCTTCCGAGTACGCCGTCTTGATTTCCATGTACGAGGTGTACAACGATCGGATTTTCGATCTCTTAACCCCCGCAATCAAGTCAGGAGCCACAAAAGAGTACCGCCGCCGCCCTCTGCTATTCAAGTCGACCGAGGCATCCCCTGACCGGAAAGTTGTCGCCGGGCTGCGGAAGGTGATTTGCGGTAACCTGCACCAGGCATTAATGGTCCTGGAAGCGGGGCTGCACGAACGCAGGGTTGCTGGAACTGGGAGTAACAGCGTGAGCTCTCGCAGCCATGGTTTCTTCTGCGTCGAGGTCAAGAAGCGGACCAAGGGCAGCCGAAGACAGGGGGCTGAAGCGCCATGGGGCGGGAGCAGTCTCACCATTGTCGACCTTGCCGGGAGTGAGCGAGCCAGAGACGCGAAGACTGCGGGCGCCACACTCGCTGAAGCGGGCAAAATCAACGAGAGTTTGATGTATTTGGGTCAATGTTTGCAGATGCAGAGCGACGCAGCAAACAAGGACAAGGTACGTGGCACCGTGTAGTGCAGACTACGCACGAACATTCTAACCGCCGTCGTGCAACTAGCCCAATTTGGTTCCCTTCCGCCAGTGCAAACTAACCGAGCTACTCTTCTCCAACTGCTACCCACCTGCAACGGCCTACTCGTCAGCCAGGCACCGAAACCCACAAAAGGCCGTCATGATCGTCACCGCCGATCCCAATGGCGACTTCAACGCAACATCCCAGATCCTCCGCTACAGTGCGCTCGCCCGAGAGGTCACTGTCCCCCGCATTCCCAGCATCACGCAGACGATCCTCAGCACGGCTGCGCAAGCGCCACAGCCCTGCTCGAATCCTTTCCCGTCTCCAACGCTCACCCGCCCACTCTCGCCTCTCGGGTCGAGCTCAGTCAGTTACCCACAGCTCCTTTCGTCGCCCAACATTGTCCGCAATGTCTCGCCCATGGGCAGCAGTCCCGGCAACGACGTGCACCGCACGACCATGGAGGCTGCGGCGCTCGAGATCGCCCGCCTCTCGGAGGAAGTGGAATACCTACGCCGGGCGCTCGACGCGGAGCGGGCCGCGCGGCAAGAGGCCGAGGCGCACCTCCTGTCGACGGAGGACCGCATTATTGAGCTGGAGCAGGCGATTCGCGAGGACTGTACCAACGAGTTTGAGCGCCGGCTTGAGATTGAGCTGGCCAGGTTCAGGGCGACGATGCAAGTTGAGATAGAGCGCGGGGAGGAACATTGGGGGAGGAAGATTGAGGTGTTTGAGAGGAGTATGGGCGGTGGTGTGCTGGGTGGTTGGGGATCGGATGATGAAGGGTTCGACGGGGACGAGGATAAGGAAAATGTTTTGGTGGAGGATGTTCACCAGGAGAATGAGCGGCTGCGGAGAGAGAATGAAGCGCTGAGGCGGGAGCTGGTGGGAATGAGTCTAACCAAGAGGATGCCGCTTCAGGAGAGGGGAAGTGATGCGAGCATGGCGTCCAGGGGTAAGCCCGCAACGGCGGACACGGGGAGTCCGCGGTCGGCACGTGTGGGTGCGAGAAGTGGAGATGGGCGTGATAATGAGGCGACCTTGAGGCTGCGGTTGGAGAAGCTGCGCGTTAGTGGTGCCCAGGCCTCTGTGCGCAGCTTTGGGGCGGCGAGTCTCAGCCCCAAGAAGATGAGGAAGTTGGCGGCCAAGAGATGGAATGCGGTTGGTGATGATGACGACTTGTTTGGAGTTTAAGGAATACATCTCGGCTTGGGTTTTGGTCCGCGGATCTGGAGGGGTATTGTTGGGTCTAGTAAGAGATACCACTTGGCAGTGATACCACTTGGCAGTGTGCTGGGTACCTGCCGTGTTTGGAGTGTAGCGAATATTTTTGGTCTTGTTGAGATATTGTTGATTTACGAGATCATGGCCAATGAAACATCTCTTGTATTCGGGGATCGGGGCCTCCATTACTGGTTTGTCCGTTAATACCTGGGTTTGGAGATGAATGTATGGCACTGCCGAAGTAGGGGCGGAATCAGCCCATCTCGCTGGCGTCGTTCATGGCCCAGCCAGCAGCGCTCTTGCCTGAAAGGTGGGTGTATCGACTACAGAGCAGGAACAATGAGGCCAAGGTAAGCCAGAATCCATCTTGATTCACACCCACTGCCGGCGACCGCCCGTACTAACAACTCATCCCCACTTAAAAGAACCGAGAGTTCCCACGACATTTTCCCTGAACAGCATCATCAGCTTGGATAACGTTTTCGGTTTTTCGGTTTCCCAGCCCCATACATTAGTCCCATTCCAGTTTGGGGCCAAACAGCTTTTCTTGGATCTCTTGTGTCGTTGTTCATCCTACCATCACTTCTTAGTACCTATATCCTGTCTAAACCCAAAATGCTGCTCCGACTCATCGTCCAATTTCTTCTGCCACTCGCCCTCGGCGCAGAACCCGTGGCATCAACACCAATTGCGCCTTTCAAGTTCCCGACCACTACAGTATCAACTCTGCCTGCCACGCCACAAGCAACACAAGCAACGAGACCAAGCTGCGGCCGGAACCGGCCCCCGATGCTGTACCACACGAGCGAGTACTACAAGGCCTACAAGAAGACTCCATACGGATGGCTCGGCTGTAACCACAACGCCAGCACTTCGGAGGCGTTTCACGCGTTCGCGCTCAAGTACAAGGACGAGCCGGACAGGTTGAGGGCATATCTTCGCCTTGCGGAGCGGCTGTTGGATTACTCCCGGTCTGTTGGCGTGGGGTTTCAGGAGTTGATCATGGCGTTGACTCGGACACCGAATGGCCTGGGAGAGCTCAAGGGGGTTGGGTCGCGGGTCGATCCGCTTGGGGCGGCGGTTGTGCTGTTCTTTCAGCCGCCTTCTGTCCGGTGCTGGCTGGATCAGGAGATTTTAAGGGAGATTGGGAGTGATGTTGCTTCGAATTGGGAATCGAGTTGCCGGTTGGTTAGCGATCAGGAGCTTCTAACGAGACTTGGTGCGGAGAGCATGATTGTGCGGGTTGTGGGGCAGTTTAAGGACGCGCTGAAGCGAACGCTTAGGGCTATTGAGGTCAGGGATGAGGTGTTTCTTTCTGGATAACGAGCCAGTGGTAAAGAGAAAGCATTCATGGACCAGTCAGCAGATACCGCGACAGGTTAAAGCAGCGACTTCAAGGTAGCTTTCTCTTAGCACAACGTGGAACTGGGAATGGATGTTTATTGGTTGGGGGCGTTGGTCTATGAGTACGGACGTACTTCAAGTGGGCTAATAATACTAATTGATGTCGGAAATAGCAATTCCAGTTTCTGAGAGCTCCGGGGTAGCGCCCAGCAGGTTCGCGGATGCCGCCACGCCATCTAGGGCTGCATGATCTTAGTGTGTTATTATGCACAGGTAGAGTATGACGAGCCAGATGTATCGACGACACGGAGGAACCTCAACCTCAACCTTCCTTGTGCACACAAGCTTGACCCTCGGAGTTCCTTTCAGTCAGAGACTGACGCTCGTTTCGACGAGGTAATGAAACGGGAAGTAGAATCTAAGAAGATGCTCCAACTCTGAGAAAAGTGAAACTCACATAATCAGGTCGACTCTTGCGACCCTCGAGTATTGACTGTCGGTCTCCTCGGCCGAGTGGTTAACGCAGCCGGCCACCAACCCCCTGAAAAACAACAGAAGCCCCCAATCGTTCCGTCAATCAAACCAGCCAGTAGTTCACTTGTATTGCGGAAGAAAGGGTTGCTGTGTGAATTAGCTATGCTCAGCGGGCCGGGGTTCTCGGTCACGGTCACGGTCCAAGGAGGACCGTCGCGGCCCAGGAAGCATCGGAGTGCGTGCGACGTAATGGAATGGACCGACTAGCGGGTACTCGACTGAGGTTGTTGCAAGGAAGTCTGGCGGCCCGTTGAATGTGAAACTATAGCCTCTTCAAGACGCCATTAGATACTATGGATCAAGCTTCATTGGGATTGCGAGGAGGACTCACTCTAGGCAACATGCCACGTCGCGCTCCGTCTTGGATCCATCGACGCTCACGCTCTCTTCTATGGCAACACCAGTATACGACAGGGGGTAATCAGTGGCCGGTGGATTCTAAAGTCCGGAATACAACTGGTATCGCTTTTCTTCGCTGACTTGTAAGTTGGTACATGGGTATGATTTCGGGCCGCAAGATTCATTTGTCCATCGGTACATGTCGGTAAAGCGGTCGGGGACCGGGATAAAGCGCGGTAGGCTGCCTTCAGCCCGTCTCGTGATCACGTTGGAGGCGGCCGTAGCGCCTGGCGTTGTGGCCATCTCGCCGTTCGTGTTAAACGTGCAGGGGGACGTTGGTCCAAACGGCCTAGAGGGAGGCTGCTTTGATGATTCCTCGTCTGGTTTGTGTTTGGGACTGGTGTCCTGAGATGCGGAGAAGACGGGGAGGAGCGCTGAGCCGCCTCGCTCTATGATTGTGACGGGGTATTAACCATGCACGTCGCACAGATGGAACACTATCGCCAATAGTTAAGCCGGCTTTATACGAATCTAGAGCGTCCCGTCGCCCCGGAAAATCGGATCGCTCACCGGATTGGCGCTTGGGACAATAGGGACGGCCCAACGGGGATAGATCGGACTCACCACCCGGGGTTCCTGCTCCTGAATTTGGGCCACGCGGGTTGTTGGTACTATGTACGATATTAATATCCAGATAGCGTGGGGGATGAGTGTGTCTGAAGTTTGGAGTCACAGCTAACATACAAAAACCCCCGCAGGACATCATCCAAACATGGTTCTGTTGGTTGGGAAGTCTGGGGTGCGCGAGGGCGAGGAGGTGAGGACACTGAGGAGCCAGTTGACTGAAAGGGCTTGTTGAGTGCCAATCCCTCCAGTCCGCATCGTTACTTGTTTCAGAGGCGTGTTTCCCTGTGTATCCTTTCGTCACCCGGCCGACGACTTCCGTGCACCCGTTACGAATCAGGACCATGGCCCGAGGACAGGGCTTTCGTGGCCCGCTCCTTCCTTGCCTCGTTTGGCTGTGTGGCGTGCTGCAATGCATTGCCGTGGTCACGGTCACTCCCAATTCCTGGGACGGTAACCATGGTCGCCCCCAAGGGATCTAGCCGCTCAATGCTCGAGATGATCAGGGCAAAACACCACACCTAAGCAACTCGACGGCCGGAGATATTGAAGCGGCTCGAAACATCGTCAAGGATGCCATCTCGCAAGCCTCCAAACTGAACAAGGCCCGACTGGACCACCCTCTCCGGAACTTTTACACTCTCCTGCCTGGAACCGTGACTGGTGCCGCCGGGCCCGCGAGAAAGATGGCTTCCGCAGTCGAAGCTCCCCTAAAGAAATGACTACCAATCCCACATCGGATCACCGGGCTACGAGGTTCATTCGTCTTATGGCTACAATTGGTGCTGACTGCGTGACCGAGTAGATTCCACAACGTGAGAGGTTATAGAGCAAAGGGCTACGGTGCCACGGTGGGTTGTTGTTGGGTTCGCTGCGCTGTACTGATTATTCGGGGTGTTGAAATCAAAACACAGGATGATACCCAGGCTATCCGCAAGGCCATGTTCGCCGGCGACCGCTGCGGAGAAGCATGCAGCGGCGCGACCAACAAGAACGCTAGTTATCGTGTATTCCCCCCCGGAAGTACCTGGTGTCAAGCATAATACAGATTCTCTTTCGTACCCTGTTCATTGGAAATGCCAATGAGTGGCCCAAATATCGCGGCCGAGAGCTTTTGTCGGCTTGGGCGTGCTGTCAACTAACGAGGATGTCCTTAACGGCGGAATGGGACCTAACAGGAACGCCAAACAGTGGTATAGTATGTGTGGGTCTGATACCGACTGTATTTGAGCTGTATCCGGTCCTCTGCTAATCGCTCCCTTTTTAATCCCCCGGTTTCCAGTCAACACTGGCCGTTTTTAAGGGCAAATCTGGAATTTCAGGGTCGATATCACTCGACCGATCCCGACGTATACGTGTGCGCCATTTACTACCCAGTAGCACAGACTGATAGCCTGTAAAAAGTTGAACTCATTGCAACGACAGGTACGACAGCAGGGATTGTGTAAGTCATGACGTTTTCTCTTCGCTTGAGAAGCTATATTATGCCCGTGCCACGAACCTACACCGGGCTCCGATCAAACTGCCAACACTTGTCCCTACCGAAGTTTCCGAGAATGGCAGTGGCGGAGTCATGTCGGGCGTGACATTTAAAGGCGGTAGCTTTGGGTTCTTTGAGTCTTCCGCCCGTGGTTGACTTGGTGTGGCGAACTCTGACGGTTTCCTTCCTGCTTATAGATGGAGGGAACCAACGGTTCACTGCGTAAAGAATGACCTCTATAGGGTGTAAAGTAGCTGCTTCAGATCATTTGGAGTTAGGGTTGAGTGAGCGATTCTGTTGAATCTCTTGCGCTTCTTTACCTCATATTCACCTCATCCAAACGATTGTCCAGTTGCATCAAACCCCAGTCAGCGATGATCTTGGCCATGAGATGCACCCCGATCATCTCCTGGGACTCTCAAACAAAGAGCCAAGAGTATAGGGATCTGTAGCGGTCAGTTGGCAATAACAAACGTGATATAATACCGAGGGTAGCGTCGCCAACCCTCGGGTTGGACGGGTCACGGAACTGTTTACCGGGCAGCGGGGTGCTTATCACCAACCAAGGATAGAACTTGTTGCCAGCTGCAGGTGGTTTGCCGGGCCTCGCGAGCCAGTCAAGTGCCGTACCGAAAATCACTGCTTCCAGTCCCCCTTACGTCCGGGAATACTTTGCTGCAGTGCCACCCTCAGGCTGACCGTTTTAGCCGGATGGTGTGCGAGATGGCGCCTTCTCAAAGCCTGCGCTCGGTCGACACCATCATCCTTTCAAGTGTGGCTTTTAACTGGGCTGTCCACCAGTCTTCTCCAACAAAGACGGCGACTGTAAAAGCAACGCAATCCTGACCTAGGCCGGGGACTGGTCTCTCCTTGCCTCGTCGATTGAACATTTGATCATGGAGGTAGCAACAGACGGAGCGCAAATGGCGCACGGGATGGACGACGAATTCTCGCAGCTCTGGCAGCGCCATCTCAAGGTGCTGAGAGGCGACTTTTCGAAGAAAAGCGTGCAGACGGTGCCCAGCATGCCCTCAGAACCATGGGATCTCGATGGCGAAGGCCGTGCAGAAAAGACCGCTCATCCGAGGGACGGACAATTAGATTCGGTAGTCGATGCCCTGGATGAATTGACTCTGTCCGTTCTCTGTTCTCTGAGAAATGAACAGTGCTGCTAATACGGGACAGACAAAGCCCCAACACCATCGACACCCACAGCCCCGGGACCCCGTGGTTTCCCGACCGTGACGGTCACACCGAGACGACGCTGTCCTCAGCTTCGAACTCCAGCTGGCCTAGGACCCTCAGCTCTCCCGGACGACCAAGCTTGCCTCATCTCCGCATCGACGAGTGCTCTGCACCGCCCTACCGGGAACCCAAAGGCAAGGGTACCGGAATCCTGGGAGAGGAGATATGGCAGGACCCGCCGATCCCTTTCATCCTCCAGAGACAACTGCTCTCAGAATCCTATCCCGCGGCCCATTACACCGCCACAAATTTCGCCACAACAACAGCGGTACCCCAGATAGCAACGGCAACCAGCCACGGCAACAACCAGAACCACACTCACCCGTCCCTACGCACGACGCAAAAACCGCCCCCGACCGAGGTACACGTCCTAATCCTGACCTGGGCGACACATAACCCAACTATGGACCATGTGACGAGACAAACAACACAGAACCACTGTGCTCAACACCCAAACACCGCGGGTACTGCGTCCAGTGCCGGTCTATCCCGACCGACTATCCCACTGCCGCCGTCGAGACAATCTTGCATCGCTTTCTGAAGAGATCGGGCGCGGACGGTTTGTTGGTGGTGTATTACCGGGGATATGGCGGGCTGGACGCGGAGGGGAGGATGAGTTTCTCTAGGTACGTACGTCCTGCCACCTTTTTCTGTTCTGCTGCGACTTCCAATGGAATTTTCCACACACAAAATCATACTGATAACGACTAAAGCGGCCCCGACCCCAAGGCGAGCCACTTCTTCTGGGACGACGTGCGTGATCCGGTGATGCAGGTTCCCGGGGATGTGCTGCTGGTGTTTGACTGCACCGCGCAGCCCGGGGTGCCAGCCGAGATGCGGGTCGAGGCGGGGTTGGCGCCGTCGTCAACGTCGGCCAAGCAGTTGCTCGGTGTTTGCGTACCGTGGGAAGGCTCCAGCTCGTGCCGCGAGGGCGGCGACAGGGCTGACATGACGCAGGCGTTGTGCAGAACGCTGGAGCAGACGTGGGATGGTGACGTGCCCGTTTTGTCGGTGCAGTGGCTGTGCTCGCTCATGAAATGGGGCCTACGCGGCACGGCGCTGGCGTCGAGGGTGTTTGTCAGCCAGCTGGGGGGCGGGCAGCTGCTGGATATCCATCTCCCGCGGCTTGCCGTCGCCGCCTGGACGAGGACCAACAGGCAGAGTTTGAAACTCTATTCAGGGGATGCCCGTGAGTAACCTACGGAGCTAGCGGGAACGAGTTAGATGCATCCGAAGGCGAGTTTGGCTGTGTTCGCTCTGACCGTCCCATTCCCTGGGACTGCTGGAGGAATCCTTCAGGCGGGACGGCTAACTTACAGAAGGATCTGACTCAATCTTCCTAATGAATGAGACGGCCCCGACGTGAGTTCTATGCGGCAGCCCCAGTCTCCGTCCGTGGAGGGCGAGATAGCCGTTAATGTACCGAACCTCTGTCCGTCGCCCGGCTTGAATATCTTGCAGCATGGAGCTGATATTGTTGGCGGTCTGCCGTGCCACACGCTTGACCAGGGCGTCGAGAGCCGTGTCCGAAAAATCCTCGTCCAGGGCGCCTTGGGGAAGTAAAGCCCTGACGATAGCACCCGCCTCCATCAGAAGTTTGTCATACAAACGTCTTGCCCCTGGATCCTCAAGTACACGCCCGTTTTTGCAATTGCACCGGACGGAGAGGGGATTGATGATGGAGTTGACGACGAGCTTGGCGAGTTGATGTCGCAATATCGCGTCCGGTTCCATAACTTGAACGTTGAGCATGCCACCATTGGCAGACCGCAGCCTCTCCACCAGGGCAAGGCGCTCCGGGGAACGGGTCCAGGAAGGTCCCACGGCACCGGCACCAACCATCAGGGGATGCTGATCATAGCGCAGCGCAGAACTGGTTGAGGAATCTCCGGCGATGCCTAGGATCAGTGGTCCTTGGCCGGCATGGACGGAGCTGAATCGGGAGGTACTATAGACGCCGGCGTGGCAGATGCCGGCCCAGTAGGTCGGCCGTGTTGCCGGGTCGGGAAAGATAGCGTGTGAGACTTCGTCCATGACACCTAGACAAAGTCAGACAGGCAGACAACGACGCACTCATACCACGAGATTGGTGTCTACACACCCATGCCATTCTGCAGAAATATAATGTTCGAGTCTCTTGACAGGCGGTGTTTGATGGGCGTGAGGGCGGCTCGCGTCAGGTGCGCCTTGGTTGCCACGATCAGATACTTGATGTGTTCTTGTCTAGGGTCGATCACCCCGAGCACTGGCAGCTCAACGCCGAATCGAATGGCCGGTGGATATCCAATGGTTCGACCTCTCTCGTCAAACTCGGTAGAGTAACGGATGCGGCGGTCTGCCGCTATCCAGCCGTCGAGCAGGCCGCGTCGATGGAAAATGAGTCTTGTCGGCGGCAAATTACGTGCATGGCTGCGTCCCAGGGCATAGGCGACGTATTTACCCATGTTGCCAAGGCCGAGGATGTAGATTGGGTGCTCCATGTTGGGCGGAGGCGGATTGGCGTTGATGAAAGTGAAAAATGGGGAGGTGAGAAGCGTCGGGTTTGGAAACTGAACGTGGAATTGAACATGAAACTAATTGGAATTTGTGATATAATAGTGGGTTAGGGTTAACGTCCCCCCTGCACCCGCCCCTTGCACAATACTGTGTAGACACTCACTGTCTGTGATGGTGCCTCATGTATGTACATCCAGTTTGCATTGATGTTCACTGCCTACCCGTTCACATTCCCTGCCCAACACTCCAAATCTCGGCCCAGTGCCTTGAGCTGGCCCGCAGCGGACCGTCCAACCGCCCAAACCTCGCGGGGAGCCCCGTGTTAGCTTCGGGCAGGCACAGCCACTTGCTCACGCAGTCGGGCACCTCCTCTTTAACATGGCTAATACAAATCAGGGCCTGCCGCGCCGAGAGACCCTTCACCTTGACAGTGCCCGCCTTTACCGCAGGGCTGTCGACCACGGCCGCCGCTGTCAACGACCCCCTCCCCTGTTTGGAACTCACCGAGTACATTTTCTCCTCCCCGTACGCGAGAAAAAGCATGCACTTGTCGCGGACGGCGTCGTCCATGCCTCCAAACGCCTCGTCGAGCACCACCACGTCGGGGTGCTTGATGATGGCCCGGAGGAAGAGCAGGATGCGCTGGGCGCTGAACGACAGCTCGCTAAACATGTAGTCGCTGGCCCAAGCCAGGTCGGACGCAGACTGCTGCTGCGACTGCCTGTAGACGCCAGGGTTAAGCTCGTGCTCGAACCACCTCAGCGTGGCCTCGACCTGCTCCGTGGCGCTGCTGTCGAGCTTCGGCTTGCTGCGGAAGGTGTCTGCCCAGGCGCTCTCAAGCACCTGCCGCACCGTCAAGTTGCGCGGCATGTGCCGGTGGATCTCGGGGCTCGAGTGGCCGATGCGCGACTGGATATCCCAGAAGGTCAGGGCCCGCTCGCCGGATCCCTGCTCGGGCAGTCTGCTGCGGCCAAACAGCTTGATCGGGAGGGAGTAGGTCTGCGGGTGGTCAGAGCAGAGGAGGGAGACGATGGTTGTCTTGCCGGAGCCGTTTGGTCCAAAGACGCCCCATCTCTCTCCCCGCCGGACGGTCCAGTACAGTCCATCGAATTTTTGCCCGTCTCGCTCTTCGGTCCAGTTACCCAGAGCCACCTTGTCGCCGTACTTGACCTTGCAGCCGTTCATCTCGATCAGCGGCTCCCCTAGGCTCTTACTTGTCGCAGCCTTGGCATTTGTCCTAGCCAAGCTAATAGAAAAATCCTCGGCAATGCCTTTGCCGGTGATGCCATGGTTGGTGAGAGTCCTCCCCATCTCACTCAGCGCATGCACAGGCAGCGTCTCATCCTCGGCGAGTGCGCCGTTGCGCACCCCTCGCACGTACTCCCTCAATCCCTCCAGCACAGTGTCCTTGGAACCCATGGCGCCGATCTGGGCATCCGTCCTGAGGTACACCAAATGCGTGATCCACTCTGGCAAAGGGTCTTGCGGCCTGGCACTCAGCACCAGCCTCGGACTCGCCTTCTCCGCCAGCGAGTGCAGCAGCGGACTCAGCCCAGTCACAGTCGGCGGATCCAAGCCCATGAACGGCTCATCCAGCAGGAGGAGCTCGGGGCTCGTGAGCAGCGCCCGCGCAATGCGCGCCCGCCGGCCCTGGCCGTTGGACAGGAATGTCACGGGGAGGTCGAGCAGGCTCTCGAGCCGGAGATCCACCAGCACCCGCTTCAGCAGTTTCTCGTCGACGCCCTCGTCGTCGGGCAGCTTGGACGGGTTCAGCTGCATATTGCCCAGGAGGAAGTCGCGCAGCAAGAAATCCGTGATTTCCCTCCGAGACTCGTACCGCGCCGACAGGTAGGTTGCTGCGGCGGGCGCGACGACGCCTCCGCCCTGGGAGTCAAAGCCGACATACTGGATCGCGCGAGACGGTGTGCGCAAGTGGTGGGGAACTTCGTCGGTGGCGAGGTAGGGGAAGGACCTGGCTGTCGGGGGGGAGCAGACGTGCTGGCCGCGGAGAATCTGCAGGAAGGTGGTTTTGCCGGAGAGGGACGGGCCGACGATGCACCAGTTTTGCGGAAACTCGCTTCGTGATGGTAGCTCGAAGGTTAGGTCCTTGAAGAAGGCCGGATTCGGATGGGCGTGTGCAGCCCCAGGTGTGTGAGATGCCGATGCCGAAGTTGCGATGGAGGTCGGTTGGTGGCGGTAGAAAGTGCCATTGGCGACGCGTATTATCGGCGGCGGGCCAGATGGGAGGCGCATCGTGTTGATTGGCCCCTGCGAACACTATTGTGTCGAGAAGCCATGGACCTTCGAAAACTATAATCATGAGTCAAGCTCAACATCAGTCCTCAGTGAAGAGTACAGTCGTTGCGGTCTCGGAGATAGCGCGTCCGGGGATAATTGGCGAGGTGCAGGTCCCGGCAGGCAAAGTCAAATTGCATCTAAGTAATGCTGCCGCCGGGCTTGGCAAAGCTAGGGTCCCGCTGAACGCGAGGCTGCTGGAGCCTGGCAATGGCATCACAGCTGGGAGCTTCAAACTGTAATCGCTTCTGCAACTTGCAACATCGACCGAACCCGACCATAAACCTGATAACGTCAAGAAGAATAACTTGAACTACGCCGCTAGTCACTATAGACTTGTCTACTTCTCACACAACGTCAACAACAATAACAATCGCAAACATGGTAAGGCCCCGTCTCTCTCCTCCCAGAAACCCATCATCACGCACCTCCCAGCGTCAACTAATCCTCACCCGCACACAGTCCCTCCGCATCGTCCCCGCCGACGCCCACCTCACCTCTTTTACGCACAACCCCTCGCACAATACTAGTGCTCCGTCAGCCCCAGGACTCCACGACACGCTCCGCGCAGGCGTCGGCCCGTCCCCCTTCGACATCGCCGACAACAAACCCCAGTCGGCACACCCGCTCGATTCGCGCCTCAAGTCTTGGGAAGCGACGCGCGAGGCGCTGCGCATGGAGACGCTGCGGCGCGCCTACGGCGTCGCGGAGCCCGTGCGCCGGCAGATGGAGCTCAAGATCACGCGGGAGGGTGAGTGGAAGCCCATGGTTCTTGGGGGCGGTGGTAGCGGGATGGGGAGCGTGCATGAGGAGATTCTTGCCGGTCGGGACGATACGATTACGTGGGAGGATGTGTTCACGGGGGAGGAGATGAGGCCTGTGGTGGGCGTGCACGAGGAGATGGAGAGGAAGGTCAACATGTGAGGGGGACATTTGCATGTAGTGAAACGGAGGGAGGATACCTGCGGAGCTAGTGGTGGGCAAGGACACATCGAGTGGAGGGACAGGTTGCTGAGAAGCGTGAGCCGGTAAGTCCGTGGGAGCTGGACAATACGGGCGGAGGTCAGATTCGAGCAGGGTCCAGCGTCATCAGCATACGGTGGAATAACCGAGGAGCTTTGCGTGTGCTGAATCGTCAGAAAACAAATCCTTGCTCTGCAGCCGCACAGGTGACTCCAAGTCTCTACCCAGCCCCTGATGATCAGTGACATTTGCACTAAACACCTAATCCGCCGATCGAAACAATCTCGAAGCGATCGCTGGGGTGGCCCACAGGCCGCCCTTCGTCATGTATTTGAGACTTCAGGATAAACCAAAAACAACACGCTGCGCCAGGCCCGCCCCTTAACCATGTACATCGAATAGAGCTTTCTCATGTAGACAACCGCTGGCCTGCTCCTTGCCGCATAAATGCACTTGCATGTCAGTGAGACATAAACCCAGAATAAAATATGCCAAAAGAGGTCTCCAATGTCAGTCGCCAGCCCTGGATGGCCCCGGATGAAACAAAAGAGAGATCAAGGAAAAGCTTGCAGGAAGGTGATCATAGAATAACGCAGCAGCCGCTGCCGCCTTCGCGGTTTCTCCCCTCCCTGCCGGCTGACTTGCTTTTGCCCGTCTCCTCCTCCTCCATCATCTCAGGCGGCCGCACCGACATGTGGACCACATTGGGACTGTCATGGGTAAAATTATACTCTGCAAAGTGTCAGTTCGTGGTTCCTATGACGTAAAGTGTGCGAAGGACGGCATGAACTGACTTTTCAACTGCTCCTTGTCATCCAACAGCTTTCCAAAATGGATCAGGCGGATGCTGCTCGGGCTGGCCGGCTTTCCCTCCCACTCGTCGCGCCACTCGCGCAGGATCAGCTCCTTCAGCTTATAGACCGAAATGCTGAACGGGTCCCGCGCGCCCGACTCGGTCACGTCCGGCACGTCGACGTTGCGCTTGGCCAGGTACTTCTCGTCCATCTTGTACGGGTGCCGCGCGCCCGTCGGGAGCAGCAACGTGATGGCGCAGACGGGCGCCGACTCCGTAATCTTATCGCTACCGGCGACGGCGGGCGCCGGCTGGTCAGTCGGCCCTATTGAAAGCGAGTCGCCCTCTCTGTGCTTGTCGGCCGGTGGTGGCGGCTCGTCCTTGGCTTTTCCTTTGGATGTTATCTCCGCTGCTGCTGCTGTGGCGTCGGATGGCGGCTCCTCCTCGTCTATCCTTTTTGAAGTTGTCTCTGTTGCCTTTGCAGCGGCACTGGACTCCGCGACGGGCTCATCGACGGCCGAATTGTCTTCTGTCGGCTCTCCGGAGGTTCTCTGCTCCGCTTCGTTCATCGGTAACAATTCGGACGGCTGTGGCACTGTGCTCTCATTCGACGTTTGGTTGCTGCCCGGCTTTACTGCGGTTGCCTCCATGGTCGCAGAGGCAGAGGGAGAAAAACAATCGGCTGCTGTGGGCAATCGCGAAGTAAACAGAGAGCCAGCAAAGGCGTAGGACGGTCGAGGTGTCGGAAAACTGGGAACGGAGTCCTTGCGGTCAGCCGCGGGTTTTGCCGCAGCACCGAAAACGGGTAAAAGTTTGCTTCCGACTGTCCGGAACAGGGCAATATTCGCGATGACTGAGCGACAGCTGAGCAAGTGTGGTTCGTTGTCCCTTGACGTTCCGTTCAGTCGAATGCGGGCTTCGAAACACAGTCGCCCAGAGTGTGGTCGTCGGATCTACCGGAAATGCGGCCTGTCGTTATGTATGCGCTGAGCGGCCGTGGTGCGAACGTTGGCGCTGGCGAGCCAGATTCAGGATGAGCGAGCAAAGGGAAAACGTCCGGTACGGGAGTAGGACACGGCAAATTATGGGCGGATGCACCGAAGGCGTCCTGGGTCGTTGGTTGGCCGACTGTTCCCTGGTGCTCAGTGACGCTCGCAGCAAGCGACACACCGAGCTGAGTTAATCAAAGACAGAAGTGGTACGGTAGCCAAAAAAATGGGAGAGAGAGCCAGCACAGCACCCAAAGATTTGAATCGAGCGCCTGGAGAGGTAGGTCTAGAGGTTGCAATTGGAAATGAGGAGGAAAATCTTGGCAGGAGATACGGTCGATCGCCAGAGGTGTGGGACTTGCTCGACAGGAATCATCAATCGGGTCTTATTGGAGCAGGAGCGCCCCATAACAGGATGTGCGACAGGAGGGCGAGGAGCGTGCTCCACACCCCCTGCCTGGGGAAAGAACCACAAGCAACCAGCGGATCCACTCAACCTGGAAGCACAAATCAGCTACAGTAGTTAGTCTAGTAATTATTTCTTACGAGCCGTCGACATGTTCCAAATTCATGTCGACTGCTGTTCAACTCGCAGTTTATCTGCACAAGGAACCCGCCGGCGGGCACGACCATGGTTCTAAAAATCCAAAACCTATTTCAATGATATAGGACCTCCCTTGCGGAGATTATCTCTTCGCGCACGCCTAGCTAATGCTTTTCGTCTGTTGCTGACCTTTAGTTTTTGCTACCTACTCTGGTGCCACCTGTTACGAGATCTCATGCCGCGCCCAGGACGGTCCATATCGCCTTGCAAGCCGAACACTTCATTCCTCTACTGAATGAAGGAATATGCTTCGCCCCAGGCCTTGGACAGGATCGAGTGGTTTACAGGCCCATGGCTCTGTTGGGTTTCCATCGCTGGACATGTCAAGCTGAAAAGGAGAAGCACTGCCAGCACTGGTCGACCGGTCCCGCATCCCAACAAGCCGAGTTGGAGCACTCGTGGAGTCCGGAAGGGTATGCCGTGAGTTCGCGAAGGCCCTCGCGGCGTGAATCATTGTCACCAACTCGAAAGGGGCTGCTCCGTTCTCAGCTTCTGCTTCCGGGACTTGGCTCATTTAGTCTGGTACTCGTATCTAAGAGGCTGGACGTACACGGGCAAATGAAGTTGTTTTGACAGTGGCGCTACAGGAGTCCTCCGAGTTTATAGCTCCTAAGTCGACGGTTTAGAGTGCAAGAAGCCAAGCAGCGGATTCCTCTCTCAGTTAAATGGACCAGCAGTAAACCCCGTTAGCACCAAAGGACAGATTTGAGATGGACTAAACTCGGACTCGCCGTATGTTTGGAGCTCCGAGACCTCGGGCACGTTGCAAAGCTGGCGTCCATTGTCCTTGTAACAAGTTGTATCACCCAATCAAACCAATTATTAAGGACTACTCAAAGCGCCTTGATCAAGCCGACACGCTTCCTACGCAGAGCATACGCGTAGGAAGTGCAACTTCCAGCACCACCATAGGGGAATCGTAAACCCCAACTCTCGGCCCTCTATAGAAGAATTGACAGATGAAACCTGTAATGGTCTCAGGTAGTATATTGCAACTAATCGCATATTCTCAACCGGAAGCCGATTCTTGACTACTTGCGTAGAGTCTTCAAAACCGGCGCCTTTCGAAAGCTCTGAGAAAACCTTATCTAACTACGCCGACTGCACGCCCGCGCACTTTGCTGCGTGGCCGCGGTGGGTGTGGAAAGTAGGGCGATTCGAGGTGCTGCAGACATCCCGAGAAACTCTCACCAGCGCACGGACCAATAGGTCACCTGACTCCCACCCACAGTTGCCCAGGCGACCACGCCCTAGTGCCCCTGAGCCCCTGAACCCCTGAGCCCTCGAGCCCTTGCATGGGACAGGATGACCGCCCCCACCCCTCCAACTGAAGGGAGAGGAGGAGGACCGGCCCAGTCACGACACTCAAGCGGCCCCCCGACACCTCCTCGTTCCCCCCCACCCTCTGACATCGACGCTATCAAGAACATGGTCGACGGATTGGTAGCATTGGCAAACCCAGAGAAGAAAGGGACCGCCAGAGGCATGGGGCAAGACCTCCTCGCAGCTGTTCGCAAGCTATACAATGCGGCCCAGAACCAAACAGGAACCATTTCACTGGCCAACCTCCGCAAAGTGGTAGCCGAAGAACTCAGGGCGGCCGCCACCGCACCCCAGGATAAAAATCCTGGGCCGTAGTGGCCTCCCAGGAATCCAGCCAAACCCAGACGCAGACCACTGCCCCAGCAAAGA